CAGCTTCTGCAGCTTCTGCAGCTCTTGGCTCTCTTGCTTTGAGCTTGTCGCCTTGTGGCAGTCGGACCGAAAAGGGCTGGGCGGATGTCAGTCTGCTGACCCATGGTGAGGGTCACTCGTGAAGGTGTATACCTGAGAAGGCGGGGCTGCCCTACAGGTCGGTACTCGCAGGGCACGAGAGGTGCCCGTAACTCTTCCTAGTAGCATGGACTGCAAAGGACAGACCCGCGAAACGAACATGTCACCCAAGCCAAGCTGCGTAAAGACCACAGACCTCACATTGCTTATGCCACCGACACCCAAAGCAGGCTTTGCCTCACAGCAACTGGGGTGACAGGATGAATCTGCAGAGAATCGATCAAGGAGCACTGCCTGCTCCATGTCACATGCAGATGAACGGCCAGCCTGTCCCTCCAGCTTCTTCCCCTTCCCTCCAGACCTGCGCAGGAAGGTTCTCTGTCCCTCGGGAAGAACCGGAACGCTCGAGCACAGCATGCGCATCCTAGAATCCCTCCCGTGCGAAGGTGCTCCACCTTTCACGCTTGGTGGTATTGAACCTGGTATTATACAGACATCAAGATACATCCAAGTCCGCACAAAACACGAAGCTTCCGCAGCACGGTTCAGGAGAAGGCTACATTTTGCTGTTCGAATAGGCTTCCCCTCTCTCTGTTTCTTGCTGGGGGGTCCTCGAAGCCGGTCTGAACATTGTGAAACTGGCAGGTATGCAAAGGGTCGGGGGGGCACTGGTCCGCATTCCTACTGCACCGCCTCGGCTGGGGAGTCTCTTGCACAGCAGGTGGTGCATCTTCCTCACAGAAGCAATCAACTTCATTGGATAGTCACCGGACACGGAAGCACCAAGCAAATCTGGAAGCACGAGGCGCACCTTGTGGGCGAAACCGCGCATGAGCTTTCTCTTCTCCCTTTGCTGCTTCTTCCATGCCTCTCTACCTTGAAACGAGGCACGATAGGGGACTAACCTGTCACAGCTACTCCGTGCCCTGAAGATTGAGATGCGCACGTTGCTGCAGCTTCGACTGATGCGTCATGTGGCAAAACCTTTCCCAAACGCTAATGCTTCTCAGCTTTCCAGCGACTGTTTTCATCTTTTCAAGCCCATTTCTTCGTAAGGATGAGAACCAACTAAACCGCTGGCTTCGCGGCTCAGCTCCTGCGCTGAGGCTCTTGCTTGCAGTCGGCGCCACGGTTGCAACCACGTCGAGTGAAGCAATAAAACGTGCACGGAGTGCCTCAGCCATCCAGCAATTTTAGCGAAGCACAATTGCGGCGATTATGATGGCAGGGTCGAAAATCAATCGAGACAACTAGGAAGCACGGTAGCCCTGTCGCCAAATTAAAGCCAGGATGCATTGGTCAGGATGGCCGACGCTGCCCATTGACTCCTGTGTTTTCACCAATTTCGGGCTTCCGTGATCACTCTGGATCCTGCTCCAGCATGACTTCTAAACTTGTTCCGATTCAGTCTGGCCGCCTTAGCGCCTTCGGATGCCAACGTGGCGTAAGGCCCGCCTGGTATGCTCGCAAAGTGTCTTCAAGGATTACGACTGCGTTGCTTGCCGCTCGGACCACCTGGACTCTAGACTCTAGACTCTGGACCACGCAGGTAGACGCGAGCCCAAACCCATAGTATGGAAAGTCTTAGCCTGAGAGGAAATCCTGAGGTAGTCTGAAGCGAGTGGCGGAACAAGCTGCCCCATGCAAATCCTGTTGTGCGAACAAGAAGAACTTAGAAGAACTTGACACTAAGGGATGGACATGATGCGCATGCGAAGATGCAAGAGAACGACTTTGCCCAAGGCATGCAATCTGCGCCCTGTGCATCCCTGTGCTGCTGTTGCTGTCAATGTCGGCAACAAGCGATCTGTGAGCTGGAGGTCCCGACGACAGGATTACGTTTGACATTGAACCTGGCACAATCCAGTCGCCAACCCTCCGTCAGCATCCTGAGCCTAGAGGCCGACACGACTGGACAAACCACACCTTCCACCTACAGCATCCTGAACCCTGAATCCTGCAGGCAAAACTCGCATGGCGCATGGCGCTTTCCACACTGCGTTCGTTCCCCTTGTGGTGCCCTTCTTGAGTTTCCCCATGTTTTTTGGTACCAGGGCACCAGGCCCGAGGTCTCGCGATGTCTCGCGTTCGAATCGGCCGTCACAGCAGACTGAGCTCATACGTGTCGGGTCCACCTCCGGGCTGCTCGTCATCATCTACCTCCAGGTCTAGGGCAGGCAAGATATGCGAAAAGCCCTCGGGAAGAAATGTCCAACCTCCTCCTCTTCGGAGGTGTCGATGCAGTCTTCCGCGGTCTTCAGCATGCTGTGCTGGTGCTGTGCTTGCGGTGTGGCTACGGAAAGTGGAAGGCTCGCCGCAAGGAGGACGCACACGGCCCTTCCGTGAACAGGCTTACCGTCCTCCGCGGCTGAGCTACTGCAAGATGCTTAGTCTTGCCACCTTTCCTCTGCATTTGAGCAGTCCAAGCGGCAGAACAACAATCAGCAACGGACCCTACTCGTCAAGCACACTGGCCAAGCACAGCCGAGCCGACCTCTGCCTAGCACCATATAGCACCATGGAAACAAGCAACAGAAGCTCGCGCGCACTTCTCAACGAGACAACATCTCTCTTCCCGGGTCTTTGCACCGGGTCGCAGCGAGAGCAACCATTCCTCAAGGAAGAGAGATGCTCCAGACTCCCGGCGAAACCAGCTTTGAGTTCCATCCGTCTTCGGATTGGGCTGAGAAACAGGTGCTGTTGCAATGCAACGACACCCCGACTGAGCGCTGGACCACCAATGCTTCCTTGTGACACAGGAGCACACGATGACATGATATGACATGATGACATGAGCGGCAGTCCTGATCCATGGGAGCAGGCAGCTGCCTTGAAACCTCACATGTCTAGGGCCAGGTCCAGGGCCAGCGCCGGTTCGCATGTTTGGCCGGCCTCCTCAAGCTGCTGCGGAGTGAACAGCAGACCAGCCTTTACGGCTGCGACCTGCGACAAATCACGTCAGTCTCCACAACCCACGCCACTGCGGGCCTGGAACTCACCGAGCATGGCTTCAAGGCCAGAAACGGTGCTCTGCACATAGAGCCTCAGAATGCATCACTCATGATGCTGCATGCTGCTCTTGATGAGGCACATTCTGCAGCCTCCTCATACATTCTTCTTAACATGTGCGGTGTCGCCACGAGCTTAGCTCTGCAGCCGTGGCTTATGCGCTGCCGCGGCTTGTTCCCACGACGGTATGCATCTCAAGAAGGTCTTAGAACTACATGGCGTGCAGACTGTCCTTCCAATATCCCATGATTTCAACACAGCGCGGGTGCGCCAAAGGAGCAGGGTACACCCGATGCTCAGTCAGTGCATGTCATGGCCAAGGCCCTATACGCGACATCAGCAGCAGGAATCTGCACTTAGGCTTGAGACTGAAGCCAAGACATGTCCGTACTCTGTCGCGGCATGAAGGACACGCAGCAATCAGTCGTTTAAAATGCTTCTAATGACTGGTCATCGGTACACTAGTCAGGCACCGAACAGCACATTGATGAAGTCGAGCGGAAGCTAGCTGTTCCGCACATTTGGAAAGCGTTGCTGGGAATCTTCCAGACGGAGCAGTCTGTTTATCGAGATTTGATGGCTTTGAGGCACAAGCTTCGCGGCGGTGACATCCTGGTTTATGAGATTGAAGAAATCCTGCAGACGAGCGTGAAGCCCTAGACTCCTAGACACACTCGGACAGGAAACGAGTCTGGAATCTCTGTAAGGGGCATGCAACCCGACCCCGACCTCCTGGGGACCCACGACTCGAGGGTTCGCGGAGCTACTGCTGGCAGCGGCCTTTCAGGCTGTTCTCAAACGCAGAACTTGTGTCACAGAACAGGCTCAGCGCAAAGCTCGCCCAAGCTTGCTCAGACATGTTCAGTCCTATCTCCGCATCACTCCTTCAATCAGCTGGGGCCGGAAGGCCACGTGAATCAGCTGAACTAGAAGAATGACGAGGCTACACCTTCGTTCCTCTCCTGGCCACAATATGTCACAACACAATACAGCACGTAAAGCACAGACAAAGGCACTTGGTCTGAAGATGTCTGCAGACTCCAACACAAGTTTGGAAGCAAACCGAAGGGTGGAGATCTGAAGCATCTGAAGCGGGCACAAACGAGGCTTTTTGCATGCCGATTCGCGCTCTGGCCTGCATTCGCACTACATGTATATTGCATTTAGACTGAGACCCTGGCTACGTGAGAAGAAGAGGAGGAGGCCGCCTGGCTTTCCAAGCGCTCCTCGCAAGTGGAAAGTTGAAGCAGCCACAATCTGTTGTGCGCTCTTCACGTGCTTGTGCCTGGGCTATGAATCCAGGGCCTCAGCGTCAGGGCTTGTTCACGAAACTTTGCCAGCAAAGACCAGCAAAACAAAAGAGCGACATAGAGCGAGAACATCGGGGACGCAACCCTCATCTCCGCTAGACTGCTCTGCGTAATCCTGCTTATACGGCATCCATGACACATTTGACCTCTCGATTAATCGCACCTGGAGCCCACACGCTGCATTGACTTTGCTGATATTGTGCTTGAGCTCCTCATAGTCACGGGACGACAACAGATGCGAGTGTAGCGGCTCTGGTCCTATGTGTCCTTGTACGACAAGTATGGCTCGTTCGCTCGGCTTTTCTGCGTCACGGCAGCTAGCAGTTTCCCAAACCTGCGAAAGGGAAAACAATCGGCGCCCACAGCCGAGGGTCGAAGAGTCGACCGAAGCCGACTGCCGAGACCCAGGCCGCATCTCTTCCTGACCGGGCCTGACCCCGCAGCCCCTCGGAACGCCGGCAACGGCTGGAGGGAGTTACACGGGGTCTACAAAACTCCTAGAAGCTGAAACGGCGGCGGGAAGCAACAGGTCATGTTGCGCAACATCACAGGAAAGCTCCTCTGGCATCGGCAGCCCAACTCCCAAGCTCATGTCAGCAAGGCCGTGAAGTATCGGTGCTGCTGATCAGCTTCAAGAGCAGTTCGAGTAAGCCCCATCTTGAACACCTTTCCGGCAGCACTTGTTCAACTGTGCAAGACAGGAAGGAAAAGCGAGCAAGGGCAACACACACAAACGAGCGTAGTGAGCATATTTCTACAAGTAGTGCCCTCCATCCCCATCCCATGCCGTCTCCTTGACGATAGAGGCCCCTGTATTTCGGGTGTGGACTTGCCCAGAACGACCGAACTTTCCAGAGCTCATCGTACTGTAGGTGGCTGTTGCTCGCCAAGATCACTCTCATCCCTTGCCGAGAGAAATGAAAGCGGTCCCATGCAATTGTGGTAGCTTCTCGTGCTTCTGTACTTACTCTGCACCGATCCAGCTGTGTCGCATCGGAAGGCTACTTCGCGACTGGCTCTGCAAGATATCCACTCCTGGACTCCTGAAGCATTTTGCAGACGTCCTCTTCAAGAGCTACAGCAAAGTGTGGGATTACGGGGATACCTGACACTGACAGTTAATAATTTCAATCGTCCCATCATGCTTGTGTCTGGGTCAGAGTCCGGGTACGTGTACAATCCGCATGCTACTCGAACACACGTAAGTAACTACTCGTGCTTGCCTGTAAACGGAACATCTTGTCTTCGATGAGACCACTCATGATGAGGCGGTAGACCCTCACCTGATCATGAGAACTGGTCTTCAAGAATGAGACGGCGTTCTGCATTCGGTCCGTGCCTCTTTGTTCTGCCCAATGCGATATGCCCGGTCTACGGCCTTAACGAAACTAGACACATATGCCGTCCAAAACCAAGCGGAAGTTGGCCTGCGCATCAGTGGCAGGGTTCCAAGCCTGACGAGGGTGGATGCAGTAGGGTCGGGGAGAAGGGAATGAGGAATCACGGCCAAGCCATGATCCCGGCAGGATCGACGATCACCACGCGGTCGGCGGCCGTCAAGTTCAGGCCAACGCCCCCCACAGCCGTGGTCAACAGCATGCACCTCGGCCGCTGACATGCAGTCTACTTTGAGAAGAGGGCCAAGAAAGCGAGGGCAAGGAAGCACAGCAGGAAATAGTGGTGCGACGCATCAAGCAGATCTGTTGCAGCGCAGCACTGCAAAGTACTCCAGCATGCCCAAGACTTGGCATAATTCTATATAAGTCAAAATCCCTCAATTTTTCGGGCCGGCAAAGCCAACCAGCTTTATGCCTCCTAGAGGTCCCAGCATGTCCCAGCCGGTCAAAGGCATACTATCATTGACGTGCTCAGAGCTGCCGAGCAACGCACTGTCTTTGCTAAATGCTCACAATTGTTGCACAATTTCACTTTGCCGGCCCGGAAATGCCAATATCTACACAATCTTTAAGCGGCACCACAAAGTCGCAACACGCAGTCACGCAGCTGCGCGTGCAAGCGTAAGGTTCGCTATTTCTCCTCGTGCAGAAACGTATCTCGTCAGAAAGTGAAACCTGCACCGTCAGGCAGGTGCGTGCGTAGTAACGCAAGATCTTCGAAGTCACTCTGCACGCTCATGGCCACGCTGTCAGGTTGAAATCAGTGCCGATCTTGCAGCAAAAAAGTTCTCCGAAGGTGGACACAAAAGGGACCTTCAGATCGGAGGGAGGGGGGACCCCACTGACCACCTTGTCAGCAAAGGGATCTGCAGTGTGGCCGCTAAGCCCAAAGTGAACGCTGGAACGACAACTCCACGGAGCGGTCGTGATCTGTAAGCAGATGTGCTAGCTTCCTGCGATGGACTGTAACCGAGTCAGAGTCTGGGACGGTCTGATGCCAGCTCCTTCGCGGGTTTGGCCCACGAAATTGGCACAAGACCAAGGCTGGGTCGGGGTTTCCCCCCTGGCTGGTGTGCGCAGAACACAGCGAAGCCAGCGACAGCCAGCATTTCCCCGTCGCTTGGCTGAGCCCTGTTATCCCATGCACAGCAGAACGATGCCCAGGGTAGAGTCTAAGGGAAGGTGTAGGGCTTTTTCAACCATCCTCTTCTTCTGCATGCTGCGCGATGCTTTGCGATGCTACGCGAGCGCAACGCGAGGTCTCGAGCTGAGCCCTGCCCAGCTTGACAACTCCCGCGGAAAAGAAAGTGCCCCATGTCTCTTGGACCATGGCAGAGCTCTCGCCAGTGCTCAGGGCTGCTGTCTTTGTTCTAGCATACGCTCGCCTGCTTTGCATGAGCAAGATATTCGATAAGATACTACGAAAAGCTTCCAACAAAGTAATATATGAGCTTCTCTGCATGTCTCGAGGAACCCATGCGCCCTTCGTTTGCCTACCCTTCGTGTGAACGCGATTCGTGGTGCGTACATTCCTGTATCAGAAAGGACTTGCCTCATAGGTCTTACATGCGAGTATTTACATGTTTCGGTAAGAGTCCTGAGTAATTCCTTCAAGGTTTGTCCACCCTCGATCCACATGCATGAGCGGTACTTTTGGGTCTCGTCGGAGCATGTCCTTTTGGAATGCGTCGATACGAGCTTGTTCTGCACGAGTCAGCCCTATTGTTTTCTAGACTGTACAGACGACTGGGCTCAGCACCCGTAGGTTCCATGTTTTTGGTGGTTCTAGTCTTGGACCATTAATTTAAAGGTTGAGATGATTGACCGTGCCATTCGCTTCTCCGATCTTCTCCAAAAATTCTCCGTGGTTGTCAACACCATTCGTAAGCATTGCGCCTAGGTAAGCAGTTCGTTTTTACGTGGCATGTGCGAACCGTCAAGACAGTCTACAAATGACTGACACTGGCTGATGGTCAAGTTCACACATATCTCGAAGTTTAACCGAAGGTTGTATGTTAGCGATGGCTGTACGGCTGCATTGCATGTAAAGTTTGTTGATAGTATGAGTGTGCGTGCCACTAATTCGTGTACCGTCAGTGCTCATCTCTTAAGCGTAATTATGGAAGTCCTTCTATAGGTTCTGATAGATGGCAGACAACAACATACGACACAAAAAAATGAAAAAGTGAGATAACCTTGTCGTATTCCAGATCTTTGAGCTTTGTAGCGTGACCAGGGTGTGATTAGTTTTAGCGTTTAACTCGAAGTTGGCCATCTTTGTACATGTTGCTGATTATTCGCAAGGTAGTCAGTGTATCGAACTTCAATGAGCCGCTGCTGGTGCACTTTGTCGAAGGATTTCTGTCCATCTAGACATTGATAGATTTTCCCGTCATCCCCTGTCTCTCGGTGTTGGTCGTCTAGCTATGAAACTTGCCTGCGCTGTCGGTCCATCACATCTGTGCATAGCTTATACAATCAGTCTGCGCAGCGTGAACTTTACAGAGAGTCTGAAAATCTGTTGGTCGATTGCTTTCAAGTTTGACCGGGAGGTTTTGATTTTTTGTACATTGATGTATTGCTGCGATGTTTGCATACGTAAGCGAATGTCAACCAAAGCCCATCAAAGCTGGAACTTATTGAAATCGTAGATATCTCCTCCGGATAGAACAAAATAAAACGTCAAAAGCGGTAATTACTGTCAAACTCGTTCACCCATGAAGCTGACCGTGATCATCCGTGCCAATCACATGTGCCTGCTGTCAAAAGCAAGAACCAGAACCAAGCGGGAACGAGGACGAGAACCTCTGTCTCAACCTGGCAGCCACTGGCAGCCTGACCATTCAGCTCAGACGCTGGAAGCGATCTGGCTGGTTGTTGAACTTCGACACCTCACGCGACCCGCGACTTCAATCAGCCGAGGGAGGGCCATGGAGGGCGGTTGGTGAATGATTCGGCCTTTTCCGCTCGTGCCTGGGCATCTGTTTGCCCGTCTATCCGCAGACATCGAAGGCCTTCGAGGCAGCAGACGTCCGGTTGAGTGCGACGGCGACGAAGCAAGGCCGCGTGCCATGGGGCTTCAAGCAGCAGATCTGGACCAGGTCGAGCATCTTGACCTAGACAAGGCACGAGGGGCTGGATTCAAGGGCATCTTGCGCTTGCTGCGCTTGCTGCTTCGCATTTGTACGCCTTGTAATCTTAGTTCCGTGCACTCTGAGAAAAAACCAGGGTGCGGTGGCCTGCCGTATTGCCCTTATTCCAGCAAGTTTCAAGCCCCGTTTTTTGCGCACCTTGGGAGGATAGCTCGGGCAAAAGTCTTGCCAGGCACTGAAGCTTGGAGCTCTGCAGCAGCACGTCCTGAGCACATGCGCAGAGTCGTGCTGCTGTCCGGCACGAGTCAAGACAAGGAAAAGAAATCCGCCTGGTGGCTTCGAGACCTGAGCGCGAGCTGGCTGTCTAAAGTCTAAAGAGGCCATTACTTTGAGCCCTCTGCACCCGTCTGCTAGCTGAGAAGCCGGCAAGGATTTCAGAAGTGACTCAACATCTTGGCCGCACTGGGCATCGTCCTGTGCATCCCGTCCATCGCAGGCACCCGGACAAAGGAGTTGCCAGCACATAAGACACAGGCAACCTTCAACCAGTCCTGCTGATCTGCAGCGGCCTCCGAGGCTTCTGTCGCCTCAGGTGCAGCAGCCCGTCGTCGTTCTGCAGTGTCATATTTCATGCCCCTCACACAGTCAGGGCTGGACGGTGGCATCCTCCTGTTGAGCACTGCGTTCGGAGATCTCACGAGAATCGTCAAGCTGGCTCCTTCTGCTCGTCTGAAGTCTCATTGGTGGCTTCTTGCTCCTTCGTAAGCAGTGTGCATCTTTCGTGAATCGACGGCTAGTAATTGCTTGTTGCATTCCGTACAGTGTGCTGGGAATCTCAGGGCAAGGTCCTTTCCCGAAGCTTGCACCTGAACAAGTGGCAATCAATCTTCCATGTGATCAGCAGGACAGGCTTGAACCAGACGTCCACTCATTGGCCTCTTGTAGAAGGTTCGCCCAGTCCTTTATCGTTGGCATAGGCCTCAAGCTTTGCTGAGCTGCAACGCAATGCCGCAACAACTTAAACAGGTTGGAACCAAGCAGCAGCAACAGAAGCGGATGATTACAAAGGCGTTTCAAGAGGCCGATTGCTCGGAAAACCTGCACAAAATATCGACTGATCTGTACACATAAACTCAACAAGCCCCGTCCTCGATGCCCAGCTTGGACTTCACACAGGCTTCCTTGATGACTTCGCTGTCCTCGAGCACCTGAGACACCATCCAAGTGTCAGTTCCACGCTGCTGCATTTTGCAAGCATGTATCCGGCGGCACCTTCTTGTATGCAGCCTTCTGCTCGTCACTGGGAACCAACCAGACCTTATGAATCTCAAGGGCAAGCGAGTTTTGCATTGTCTCCACGGTTGTGGAAGGTCGCTGCAATAGTCTCCCTCTTGCTGGGCAGCTTGGTCACCACCTCCAGCCCGGGGAGAGAGCTGCAGACTGCTATAACACTATAAGCAAGATGAAGGCAAGAACAGCGAAACACAGAAGAGCCCGCGGCCCCTTCAATGTCCTTCTCTTCGCTGTCGGCTTCCTCTGGCCAAGAGCAAGCAGTGCTCCTTTCTCACTGAGCATTGGCCAGCCCCAACCTCGAAAGAAACATCCTCAGCTACTTCAGATGCGCCGCCTGCAACATTCTCCATGCAAGAACGCGTTCGTCTCGATGAGGCATGCCCAGGGCCCAGGGCCTGGCCTGTGAGCCCAGCATTGACCTTTGTCCGACGCAGGAGATGCGGACGAATCAGAGCCTGGAACCATGCACCAGATATTCCACCTTCGATATCTGAAGCATGAGCATCTCAAGAAGGATTAAACTTCGCCGTTGATCACAAAGAATGCTTTGAATCAATCGGTATTCCATGTGTGCGCATCCACACTTTCCAGTTGCAGCAAATGCAGAAGCTTGGCAGGCACACCCGAAGTTGCTCAGCCAAGTGTTTCTTCAGTTCGACGGCCCAAACCTCACAGAGGGACTCGCAGAGCTTCCCTTTGTTCTAGCACTGAAGGCTTGACGCTCCAACATGCCAAGGAGCCTTTGCACCTCGCACGCTGCCTTTGTCTATGGGCTCACTGAAGTTCTTGACAAACCTCTCAGCACCAAGTTTACGCAGCGCGGCATTGCAACGGAGCAATGCCCTGAACTGTGGAGGCCACGTCGCATGGTTGCCCAAAAGACCAGGCTGCGCAAAATCCAGCAATGCCCACAGGTCCTGTGCCAGAAAATCCATCCAGGGCTTCGTTGTGTCGACACATGATGAATGGTGACTACGGCGACATCGGAGATCGTAATTCAATTCTTGATGGCAATTCATGAAGCTTTCAAGTGCCGCTCTGTTCACGGACACAGGCCCCAACCCGAGCAAACACATGTGAAAGCCTAGACGCCAGAAGCCGCCCTAGAAGAAGCGCCCACAAGAGCATGTGTGCGTCTTGTGCATTGCAATCAAGTCGGGCGATGTCGGGCGTTATCCCTTTCTCGGCGGCGGTCGGCGCTTCTTCGCCATTGCTTGTCGGAGCCGTCAGGTTCTGTAGATTTCCGGTGGCCTGGTCCTCGGTGCTCGGAGTGTGGGCTGTGGGCGGTGCCAGGTGAAGCTTCTTCGATCTCTGACCCCTTGAACTGCAGACCATCGGAGCTCCACTCGTCCAGCAGTGCTGTGCAAACATACGCCAGGTCCGTCAAAAATGCGCTCGACGCTGCCGCCGCCTCTTAACAACAACATGAGGCAGGTTGCGAGGGTCACATCTGCTAGTGTACACCGGTGGGCAACTGCACAAACCCTTTTTGCCATTCCGCTTGCACTCACGTGTGGTGAAGGTTAGTTTAGAAGATAGATGGTTGCAGGATGTTGGGCGCGGACTTGCATCTCTATCTTGGACGATCTGTTTTGTTCGGTGACTTTCGAACTATTGTGAAGCCAAGCCTCAGACTTCCTTTCTGGATTTGAGCCCGAGGTGCGATGAGGAGTGTACGTTGGCTATAAGTTCCTGGTGCCCCGTCCCGACCCTTGAGCCAAACCCTCTTCTTCTTCGTCATGGCCAAGCAAAGGCAGAACCCTGCCCTCCCCGCGCGCGCACGCGCACTGGTCTCTTGCTTGCTTGCTAGCTAGCTAGCTAGCTAGGCGTGGGACATGCCCCCACCTCCTTGCGCCAAGGCGCTACGCTGAAGTCCGTGTCTGGTTAAGTCGGTGTGAAACTCCACTGGTCTCTCTCTCTCTCTCTGTCTTTCTGCGGGCCAGGGGTCCCTCTCTGTCGCTCTCGATTCCCTTCATCTGTTGGAATTTTCTTGATCCTCTCACTCCTGCACGATACTTAGGACTTAGAATTAGAACCACAGCCCCTTGCCGTGGAGAATTCTTCTGTCTTCCCACAAGTACCCATGAGCCAGAGCATGTGATTGAACAAATCTAGATCTGCACAGAAACTCTCAAACCTCAATCACTACCTTCAGGCAGACTTACAGAGTCCTGAAGAGCATTTTGGACCGGCGTGCCCGTGAGCAAGATGCGGCAAGACGACTTGAGCTTGCGAAGGCTCTTGGCCAGCAGTGAAGACATGTTCTTCATCCTGTCCATGGCCGTCTTAGGCATGCAAAGCGCTTTAAGCAGCAAGATGGGGCGCCTGTGTGCCTCATCACAGACGACCAGATCCCAAGACCTGAGAATTCATGCTGCCAGCTTGCAACAACGGGCGTGCAATTGTGCAGATGACCTGTTGATACTCTCACTACCAGACCCCTAAACCTGTGCGACTGCTTTGCAGAAACGGGTGAAAGGGACATCGTAGCCCAAGCTTGCCCGAGAAGATTTCTGTGATCCAAGAGGCCTGCGACTGCCAAGCGCCGGAAGCTCTCCGCCCGGAAGCTCGGGCTCCAATGGCTCCTGGAAGTAGACTGAGTCTGTGGAGTCTGTTGCATGAAACAGCGCATGCTTCCTCTTCAGAGTCACAGGCTTCGTCGCAGCCATCATCGTCGTCCAATTTACGGCGTTTGGACGGCTTCTCACCCCCAGGCCTCAAGCCCACTGAGGACGAAGTCATGTCTCTTGGCAACTTGAGACTGAAATTGTTTGAAACAATGAGACGACAGACCGGACTTGCCACGGCGGTTCGACTTCAGCTGCGCTGCATCGAGTGCAGGTTTATGAGCTTCGAGGTCTCGTTGACATTCGGACTGCTCGAAACCGATGCCACGCAGCAAAAACCCGGCAACACCTCCTCTCAAAGAGTCCCTGGCTTCCGTCCACCGCGGCGAGTCGGCTCGGGGACGTCTTCGACCTGCACCTCGGAAGCGACGGCGAAGGGGGCGGCGGATGCATCTCAGCTCCTTCCGCTTCCGTGGGCACCTCGAGGAGCGCTTCGCAGTTGCTGAGAAGCGAATAGGAAGTTAGCAAGAGCCCTGCGAATGCGAAGAGATAAGAAACGCATCAAGGAAGTGCTGCAAACGCTTGCAAGGACCGGAGCTCAGCCTCCCATAGGTCTCCGAAGGCCACGCAAGGCCTTCGCCCGCTGCGCCGCGGTCCCGTAGTACGTGTACCTCCCCATGGTGGACCCATTATGCTACCAGGATGCCTTTGACATTCCAAAGGAGCGCACACAGGCCAACCTGGACACCACAACCGCGCCTCGCGGCTCCACCTGAGCCGAGGCCGAAAGAGAGTTTGGCTCTCAGTTCCATTTGCCAAGCGCATCCTGGTGCAGCCAAGGACGCTGATCCAGCAATGTCACTGGCATCAGCAGCAGCGCATGGGTTGCACCCGCTTTGCGTGCACCGTTCAACAAAGCACACACCTGCGAGCAAGAAGACATCTCACACACACAGTGTAGTATCCAACACTGCTCCAAACCTGGATAGTCTTGCCGAGACCCATCTCATCTGCCAGAACACCGCCGTGCCCCTTCTGCCAAAGCCTGGATAGCTTCAAGGCCAGTAGACATCCTCTTCGGACCCGAATATGACAATTGCCTGGCCATCCATGCCACTCCCTTCTGCTGGTAAGGATAAAGACGGTCGAAGATGTCCACGGCCAACGTAAAAGTGGGCCCCTGGACGGTCATTTATGAGCTCCGGGCACTTAGGAAACGTGTGCAGCATGCTTTAAGATAGGTGTGTGAAAGCATGGCATCTGCGGAAGTCCTCGGCTTGCAGAGCTTCCAGTCTCACGAGGTTCGTGTCGCCAGGGTCGGGGCGCCAAGCGACCTCTGCAGCCTCGTTCTCCAGGCGGCGCCCTTCGACATCTTCGTCCTTGAGCTCCTCGCCCTTCAGCTAAGTCTGACACTCAAGCCATGTCCTTGAGCGTGGCCTGTGATGAGCACAGACTGAGCCCGCAGCTCGCGCCGGTGTTGGCATCGTTTCAAGCCGCAGGGTCTTGGCAAATCTAGAGTGTGAGCAAGCAGAGCAGTCGTCCGGGGACTTCTCTACTAGTCTCCCCTAAATCCCAGTAACAACTCTTTTCGATGTAGAAGGGCCGCCACCTGCAAGTTCTGCTCATGAGCAAGGATCTCCTGCTTGGCCTCATGTGCCCCAATGTAATCCTCCCAATGCCAAGCCAAATCCATGATGGGATCCACGGAAGAGTGCAATACCATGCACCTTTCCAAAGCGAGTCCTCTTCTTCCAAACGCTGCATCTTGAGCTTTTGAAGCTCAGCGATTTTGGCCTGTCAGGTCGGCTAAAGGGGGGGGTTGCGCTAATCCGCGACACTGCTAGGCCTTGCACTCTGCAACTTGGGCTGCGATGGACCTGCGCCTGTGGGTGGAGATGGATACAAAAACCCTAAGCTCACATGAAGGGGCCACTAGCGAAGCAGATGCCGCATGTCCCTTCTTGCCTGGGAGTGGCAGACGAATGTCCCGATGCGATGGAGGAGCGACCTGGTTGTGCGGCAACAGAGGTGCTTTCCAGGTCCAATGCGTCTCAAGTCCGCTCATGGAAGAAAGGACAAAGGCTTGACAAGGAATCCGGGAGCCGGCCTACTTTTGGAGGCGATGCCTGAAGTCCATGCCGGGGGGCTGTGCTCATGGCAACAGAACGCCAAACTCACGGCTAGCGATTCCATAAGTTGGCTACGAAAGTCTCGCTTTCGTCTGCTTTCGTGGTCGCGGCAGCTGCATCCTGAGGACAAAACGCAAAACAAGACTTCTCTCGGTGCGCTCGCTTACACGGCCTCGGAAGCATCAGGCATGGGTGTATCGTCGTCCTTCGTATCCTCCTGGGCTCAGATGTGCTTGACACCATATGATGCTAGCTGCTCGCGAGTGCTCCTTTGGTGCCGCCTCCTCCTCCTCCTCCTCCTCCTCAGCCTTGCCAGCCCCGTATTTAGTAGCAGAGCTACGCCTTTCCAGTCTGGCCCTGGTCCGAAAGACCTCACTCTCCGACATGTCGTCATCGCAGGCCGGCTGGTTGCTGGAAGCCTTATTGCGCGATGGGAGAGACCCATCCGGCAGAACTTTGCGGTCAGCGTCGCCCGTCCTCTTCAAAGCCACTGGTCAGCAGTGCGGTGAACTCTGCCTCAACGTCGCCTCAACCGATTTGACCCTCCAGCATCGTCGAAGCTGCTGGGTAGTATGTTAGGCCGCACCACGACTCTCGCTCCAGCACTGGCTATGTTGCGGTCTCGTGGTGCGTGCATGGACCCGGACACGACGGTCGTCAAACTCCAAAAATTTCGCAGTTGTCTTCTGTTTCAGTCTAGCCGCGATAGCGCTAGCAGCTAGCAACCCGGACCGAATTCCTTGGCCTTGGCCTGCCAGCCTTGCACTCTCCTCGGCACCTGCCACGAAAGCTGAAGGCTTACAAAGTGGTCCCCCTCTGTAGCTGTCCCAGCCTGGCTCAGGATCGGACTCCAGGAGCTCCGCTGTGATCACAGCCGGCTGACCTGACAGTGCTAGTTCCGTGTCTGACTCGGCTTGCAGGCTTTAGTATGCCGGCTTTGGACGGACGATGCTGAGAGATGCTTTGCTGAGAGGGTAGGCCAATAGTAAGATTGACGCATACGCTCAATGTCGTCTTGTGTCTTGTGGCATCCTGTGGCCATCGGGCAGGGACGATCCGGGTGTTGCATTTGTACAGCCGTGTGTCACCGAAGACAACTGCGGACACTCGAAATCCCCCCCCCCCCCAGTTTTGCGAGCACCCATCTCGGGCTATGTCCGATGTCTTGCGTGCTATAGTTTGATAGCCCTGGGCCCTGAAGACCCAGCTGGTGAAGTCCGCTAAAGCGCAACACTCAGCTGACCCCACACGAGCTACTAATCGGTACAGTGTCAGAGTGAGCAACTTTTTGCAAGAACCCGGACGCTGGTGGAAGCACACTTTTGCACTTGTGTCCGAGGCCAAAAGCAGCCAGTCAGCTACTCAGTTGAGCGGGTTCGAGGCTTAATCAGAAGCTAAGTTGTGTAACTATGCTCGAAAGACGGAAGAGCAGTCTGAAGCAAGCCGCGCAGCTCAAGGGGCTTCGCGCATGGATCTGAACACGTCGGAATGCCTTGAGGTGCACTGCTATCATCTGGGCGATGTTCTGGAGGGTCGCATGTGCTCATTCCTCCCGGTTCTCGCAAGGATGTTGAAACATGTGCTACGCTCCAACGAAAACTCGACATGGACCAAGGCTGTGACGGCAATCTGCGGCATCGTGAGGCTTGTCCGAGTGGCCTGGGGCGAAATCGACAAGCCCCTCCGTAGAGCTCCAAGCATCTGTAAGCCCGTGCCTTGATCCACGACCATGGGGTGCGAGTCGCTGTCGAGAAGATCACCACTTGGCTGCTCACCTTCAACTGTGCGAAGCTCAGGCGCATCTATGCTTACATTCCTTTGTGCTTCGATCGCCACGTGGGAATAGCCAAGAACAGGCTCCGAGCATCTCTAAGCTTGAAGATGCTTGAAGTGTCTGCACTGTGTGCACGCGAAAACCCATCGCATCCAACTCGCAAGGCATTCAGAAACAAAAGCCCTCAACCTGACCAGGGATGTTGTTTTCAAGCGCAGGTGCAGGCGGAATAGTTCTAAGCGAACGTGGAAAAGCCACGAGCCCCTAAAGGGATGCAAAGACCCTCCCATCAAGCGCACGCCCCGTCCGCGCAGCAGCAATGCTGTCAAAGCTGTCAAACCGGCAATTGCGATATCCGGTCTTGTCGGGAAGAGCACCACCTGGAGTTTCGAAATGCGCTTGATAACGATGTCGTTGTCTCAGTCGCCGTGCCCGGGTAAACTTCCTAAGTGTTAGCATCGGGCAGGATTGAATCTCGATTCCACACCGTCCGCGTCCCAATCCTTTTGCTGAACAATCGTGCAAACAATTTATGTGCGCTCCGCGGTGAAGGGTCGTCGACCCTGAGACTGGCCTGGCGACCTACTCCGTGCGCACGAAGAACGTACACGACAACAGGACAAGGCTGGAGACAAGAGCCGCTGCCACTGTAGTTTCTCATAACTCAGAATCATGCACAACTGCGACATTATCATTCAAGCATGGATCTGAACACGTCGGAATGCCTTGAGGTGCACTGCTATCATCTGGGCGATGTTCTGGAGGGTCGCATGTGCTCATTCCTCCCGGTTCTCGCAAGGATGTTGAAACATGTGCTACGCTCCAACGAAAACTCGACATGGACCAAGGCTGTGACGGCAATCTGCGGCATCGTGAGGCTTGTCCGAGTGGCCTGGGGCGAAATCGACAAGCCCCGCCGTAGAGCTCCAAGCATCTGTAAGCCCGTGCCTTGATCCACGACCATGGGGTGCGAGTCGCTGTCGAGAAGATCACCACTTGGCTGCTCACCTTCAACTGTGCGAAGCTCAGGCCCATCTATGCTTACATTCCTTTTTGCTTCGATCGCCACGTGGGAATAGCCAAGAACAGGCTCCGAGCATCTCTAAGCTTGAAGATGCTTGAAGTGTCGGACCCGGAATCGCCAGGAACTCTCTGGAGATGTTCGGCACTACGAACTTTATGTCGATCGTTTCGTGGTGAGGGTATTTCCTCCACTGGCTGGAATCTGCTGGAACCGCTTGCAAGGAACACGGCTCTATACATGCTGAGGCCCATCTGCTTGGCTCCTGACCTCGCTGAATAGACGTATGTTCTCTCAAATGGCTGAAGCCAAGTCGCCTGCAAGCCTGGCCTCTCTTTGACCTCATGTCACAGGCTCTCAGATTCCGACCCAACAGGGACACCCGCGAGAGATGGGCGCCGCTGAGCGCCGCACTCGCCGAGGCCGCCGAGGCCGGCGACGCTAAAGTGGACGCGGGCTCGGGCGATGCATGCGACGCGTCGCTGCGTCGGCTCAGCCCTGGGAACACGAGAAGAGGGATCTAAATGGCGACGAGTCGTTTCTGAAACCAAGCTCCAGGCTGCTGGGGCTAGAGAAAATGCGCCCGAGCTGTTCCAACATCAGGCTCCTGCACGCATCAATGCACGGCTTGCGGTGAACGTCATGCGGTCTGGTCTTGCCTTGCAATTGAAGGTCGGAAGTCAGACAAGGGATGTTGAACAACGACGGCTGCGGATTATTAGTCTGCCTCAGCTTTGTCCGTCTTTACCTGCAGGACAGAGCAAATTATCCTTGCAATCCATATCAGCCTTCACCTGCTGCTGCACCTCACCCAGCATTGACAACCCAATGCTGTGGGGGATCCACAGGGTGGCAGTCATGAACGTGAACGATTTAGGTCGAGAGTCGAGACAAGTGCTCGCATGATGTGTCCCAGCTTGGTTTTCTTCTCTGAAGACCAGCACGGACCGACCGGATCATCACCTCAGCTGATATGCACCAGAGAACCTCACAGAACAAGGCCAGGGCCTGGCCTGCTGTCGTACATCGGCAAGATGGGGGGAAGCTTCATCCTTTCTACAACCTGGAGCAGTGGATGGGCAGTGGAACAGCGTGTGGACCAAAACGCCAAGACATTCCCCTATGGCCTCCAGCGGGAGTGCATAAACGCAATGGATGGGAGCCAGGTCCACCCGCCTGCTGCGGACATTCAAGACAGAAAGAGTTGCAGCATGGAGGTTACTCACCTCATCAGGGACAGCCCGGCAAGTCCGAAGAAGGTGTGGAAGACGTCTGGCCTTGGAGCTGGGCCCGGCCCCAAAATTGATACAGTACTGCAAGCGGAGCTGAATGGAGCTGAGAAGACTGCACATCACCAGGACGATCGGCAATGCCACCATCCTGCCGTGGAACATGCTTCAATTGATGGAAAGTGGCAAGCCAGGCTTGTCCTCCCCGTCTTGCGCAGCAATGATGAAGTCGGCCTGAGGACTCCGTCTTAGTTAGGAGAAAGGCACCTAACGCATTGGGGTCCGGCCAGCTTCTCCACATCAATCCAGTGCACCCGGTCGATCGTAGCCAGCGCTGAGAGGATCCACCAGCTGTAACATACATCAGGAGCCTTCGAAAATCCAATCGACTGCGCCCTCGTGGTCTTTATCATGCCAGCGAGCTATGGCAGAGCCTTCTCAGGCCGACCATTGAAGCCACCGCTGGGAGTCTGCCGCTCGCATAGCCACCAACCAAGCTGGTCGACATCGATCTGGTACATGGTGTCACTTGTCCACGGACACATAACCACCATGCATGGAGACTGAGAGTGCCGCCGCACCAAGGGCATCAACAAGGGCCAGTGCCTGTGAGGTTATGCCAATCTACATAGCATCAGTATTTGCTGTGTGCCATGTCATCGTCCGCGCCTGCACAGCGCAGAAAACGTATGCCGCATGAGACTCCGCACGCGGCACCGGCCCAAAGGAACCTTCATAGTTCATGCAGCGCCTCGGTCGGAACCAAGGTTGAACTCCCCGTCATGGCGAGGCTTCATGCCATGCAATGCCGAGCTTGCACATGCTTAGCATACAGCAGAATCCATCCGACACAAGCATCCACATCGATGCTATCGAGGGCATCCAGAATCGTTAGCGCAGAAAGAGCGCAGTATGCAAACCTGCAGCGTGCGGAGACTGCGACGGTGTGGAATCATCGGTAATCTGCATGGGCATAGTCTTTGCGGAACAACTTAGGCGGGGAAGGGCATACCGCAGGGATAGGCGTACCTCTCTGGACCCGCGGCGGTCCAGATCGGGACAGGGTCTGTTCCGAGGGTTGCATAGCACTATTTTTGCAGCATCTGTTGCAAGATAGTAGCAAGAAAGGGAGTGTACAAATCAACAATGTTTTGAAAATGCATGTGTGTATGCACTTTAAACGGACTGGGACACGCCAGCAACACCGAGACACCGAGAGGGTCGTCAATCCAACACACGGATTGTCATGTCATGGCGCCACACGCGCCATGTTGCGGGCGCTGACTGGCACCAGCAGAGAGCTGCCAAATACGAGGACAAATGTCACGCCACCACACTGTGTGATAGACAATATTGAAATAAGTTAAGAGATAAGAAATCCTATGATTCTGCAGTACAACCTCACGACAACCTAAGGCAATCTAAGGCAGAAGCTCACATCAGTAGCATCTGGATAAAACCATAGGAGAGAATACAAACTGTACTCCACAATACATTCCATAGACTAATCTTGCTTTTCGGTCTCATGCAATGGCATGTGATAAGCTTTGGTTGAAAATATCCGAAAGACCGATCGGAGTCAACAATTTCACTCTTTCTAGGCAACGGCGGTCTTGACAATGCACATTGGGGTTGCCTGCTGCGTTTCTTGCCACCTTATACGTAGATGCAAGCTTGATTACGAACAGCAACAACGATCAAGCCTCCATGGTGTCGGTCAACTAGAATTCTGTGACAAAGGCTGAGCACATGCGTGAAGTATCTTGCGCTCGCCAGCTTTGAGATGGTTTGTACATGTTTGTACCCGCAACCTCTCGTTGGAGGGCCCAAGACCATCCCACATGAAGACACACCACACCATCACACCCTTTCTTGGTTTTCTGACACTGGGCGGAGCAGCCCCCTGAGCTCTTTTATGATGTCTGATGCTTGCCAGGAATCACAGCCATGTCAGAAAAAAACACTCGTGCCCACAGGGCACACACACACACCATGCCACTCACACCCATAGACGTGTACACACACAGACACACACACACACACAGAGACAGAGAGAGAGACCTACCGACGCATCACAGCGATGCTTGATGTATTATTCGACACATGTGTAAATGCTACCCAAACAAGGGCCCGATATGCCCAAGCAACTCTGCGCAACAGCAGGATGAGACACGAATTGTCCGTGGGCAAGTCGCAAATCTTCCAGGAGAGCTGAAGTAGGTGCACTGATAACCCTCAGGTGAAAGTGCGTTAAGGAATCGCACTTGCTCGCATCTCCCACTGAGCAATTGTCACGCTGACATGCCAGCAATCGCACCACCCAAAGCGAGAGATAGAGACGAGCGCACAAAAAGAATCGTACAGACACACACACACACACTCACACTTCACTGCAGCTTGCGGAAAGCTCGAAGTGTGGAAATGCCCCCAGCCTCACATCAACCTCCAGGCATTTTGCAGACAGGTCAGCAGTCAACACTCATGTTAAGCTGTATTCCTGCGCGGCGCCTCACCCCAGTGATCCCCAGCAAACGAGCCGTCACTCTGTTGCAGACCAGCAATGAAAGCGACCACGCCTAGGGCCAGCTGCATCAATTTGTGTTTGCCCGTCCTTGCAAGTGCATCTTGCTGCCAGCACCTTCTCTGTCCAACTTGTCCGTGGCGTCGAAAATGCAAAGGACAAGCAAAGCCTCGATGGTACAAGTGGCAAGGTCGCCACCGAACGACAACTCAGTTTGAATTCATCCTTGCACGACCGCTGCGTGTTGCATAAACAGAGAACATCAATTGCATTCAATGGCATCTACCGGGATCATAGGAGCAGGCATTGATCAGCGGCTGCGTAAAGCCATGCAATGATGCCACCCATCACACCCCATTGCGCAGGCAGAAACAGTACGGCAGATACAGCTCAAGAAGAACGAGCAGCAAATCCTAGAATAATTTGTATGCACTTCGTCTGAGCAGATAGAATCGCCGGCTTGCAGGAGCACCTGCAATCAGAACCACACCCCCATGTCCTGCCCAATCTCCGAGCCGCTCCGACAACGTGAGGCACATGCAAGGATGCAGGCAGAGCCATGGGCTAAGTCGGCTAAGTCACAACGGCTCAGCTGGAGAGCGTGGAAATGAATGCAGAAAAAAAGGCGGCGAACGGCACTAGAGTCTCTAGAGGACGTGGGAAGCTCGAAGGGACCTCGGACTTCGTCAATCGCAGCATGGGGCCAGCAAGCCCCGAAGTTCAACCTCAGGTCTCGGCATAATGGGTTGCCGTGATGTCGGCATCGTGTCCCACGTTCGGCCCGAAACCTCCGGGTGTTTTGGGGTCTCGACACCTGCAAGCGCTTTGATTCTGTGAGGACTGCAAGATACGTCTTAGGTGCTCCACACTGGCCTCAGGATCCATTCTACAATGCTGTCTCGCCTGAAGCACATGATAGCACACGCAAACTGCAGCTTGTTTGCCTTTTTGTGTGTGCGTGTGTGTGTGTGTGCCATGGAAGCCTCTCATTGTCCAGCCGTCGCAGGAGTGCCATCGCCTCAGAAGGGCCGCGAAGTGGCTCTGCTGGAGCTCAGGGCGTCTCAGGCCCAGGCACTAACACCCCAGTAGACGCCCCCCATACGCAGGTGTTCGGACCTCGTTTCCCCCCGTCTGTTTGGGCACCATCGGTCGCCCCCCTTCTAAGGAATCAGCATCATGTATTCAAGAGACTCCTGGCCGAGAACATCGCGGAAGGAAGCTCGCGTGTATGCAAGCCTGTCTCAACTCTCATACCTTGTCGTCATCCAGATGCTGCCTGGGCGGCACACCAATAGGTTCACATCACTAAAGCATGCCCGCCCTGCCAACCTGACAATCCAAATAACAATCTGAGGTGGCCACAAATAGTAGTTGTGCTTGTCACGCAAGAGATCCTGCCCGCTTATCGGTCGGTATGACATCCTAGACGAAGTTTTGCAATTGTGCGGAGCCTCCTCCTTACTCGGGCTTGCCTGCAAGTGCAACTTAGCTTCACTTTCAAGTGACTTCGACTTTCACCTCAAGAGTACCCTCTGTCAAGCATGATTGCCTGAACTGTTCCAACATATCCGCCCGAGCCAGACATTGCCCTCGCGGTTTGGCAATCATGGGATTTGTGCCGAGGCCCTGCATCAGCCAATCAGTAGTGCATTCGTTGATTCCTGTCTTGAAGTTTCAGTTGCAGGCGACACTGTGAAAGAGGCTTGTGCTAAAGGTCAATCCGTTGATAGTCGCGCAGATTGGTGTACTTCAGAAGTGGTGGCTTCATGGTGTCGCCATGCTGCCCCATATTGATCGATGCCCTTGAATCTCGGCCCAGCGAGCACGTAGCACTCTCCACACCCCGTGAAGCAAGGACACAAAGAAGAGCAAACCGGCGTGTGCACTCCACGCAGTTGACACCTCAAAGGCGTTTCTAAGGCGAATTCAGATGGCCGAAACACCATCAGGATTGGCACTACAAAAGATTTTGAAGCCCCACATCACAAAGGTACAGTGATGTCGAGAGCCCCCCCTGGATGCTTCTTACATGAGCAGTTCTTCATTGCATCATATCCTTCAGTTCCAACTGCTGCTCAAAGGCATACAGGGGGTCAGGGTGCAGAGATAATTGGCTGCTGGCGAGGGACTGCGCGTCTGCGAGATTCCACGCACATATGGTGCCATACATCCGGCCCTTGCGTAGGTCTTACTTCACTGCACACACACTCCTCACCGCTTGCGCGTGATGACGTTAAAATTGTCAACTGGAGCATCGAGTGAAGCATTGCTCAGAGATGCTGCTAAGCCGCTAAGCCCTAGGCAGACTGAACAGTGGAAAAATCCACCCAGGTTTCAGCCTTCAAGGTGGATCGGGGTCTAAGGAGACGAAGCATTGAGTTGCAGAGAATGCCTTGCATCCCCCCTCTGCACTGCGGGTGTCTTACAGTGCAGAAAGTCTCAACCTCGTTGTGCAGATTGCTGCATGCCCGACTGTGGACCCTTACAAGAGCCCGGTCCGCAGAGAGCTATGAAGCAAAAAAATAGTGGGAATTTCGTGTCACTGCATGATAGTAATAATCGTAAGGCGTATGTTGCTATGCATTTTCAACCTCCGTAGAACAATTTAGGATTTCCTGAAATAGGACAATAAAACAGATTGCTCGGCAATCCTTGAGCAGCCACGATTTGTGGCTTGCTACGGAAAAGCAAGTGCAAGTTCTTGACATCTACAAAGGCCGAGGCCGTAGATGCGATCCATCGCAATTAGCCATACTCAATGCCGCTTCACAGCGCCGAGAACGGCTATGGCAGCTATGGCGGATCGGCGGATCGAGCCTCGTGGAAATGCTGGCGGGGAAAAGCTTCGCTTAAGTGTTATCTTCGCAGTGGGCCTGAATCAGAGACGTGCTTCCGGCTCTGCATCTGGCATCTCCGCACCTGCAAAGTGAAGAGTTGAAGAGGCTGCAACGGACATCGGCTGCCTGGGCAGCCCGTCATAGCCCGTCCAAGTTGCCTGGTGGCACATACACCGCGCGAAGCACAGCGCCGGTCCTGAGGCCAGGCGCGCTAGCCGTGTCTCCGTGTCACCATCTCCCGCTTACCAGTCCCTTCGGCCAAGTGGCACTTCCTCCTCGCACCTCACTCGTGCAATCTCTCGTTGCTTTCTTGGGGCGTGCCTTGGAAACGATCGGCAATTTGTCCAAGTGGCTGGAGCCAATCATGCTTGTTCGTCAAGTAGTCGGATGCTTCCGTGACACCGTTTGAGGGCCGGAGAACCTGACTACCACAGGGCTTTTGAAGCACACTGCACTTGCCACTTCAGCCAGCTGACAATCCTCTCCTGCACCTGCAAGGCGGTAAGGAACTGATCACCACAAGTCCAGCTCTAATTTCAGACAAAGCCCAAGCCTGGACGACCACAGGCGATTGGTCAAGGCTGGCCGCCACCTCGAAGATGGCTACTCAACTGATTCAGCACACCTCCTCCGTGCTCCGAGTTCACGCGGGCCGAAGCCATGCAAAATCTAGTTTCGCGGCACTGGCCAGGACGGTACTCACCGACGGATCGCAAAATAGCCTTGGGTCGGCAGGACTGCAGGACGTCTTCGACGATTGAAGTCTAGGAGACTTTGCCGCCAAGCTGCGCGACTCCCATGACCTTGGCCTTCTTCGCTGCATGCATTAGCACCGCAGCCGACCAAAGTCCTCACAGGCAAAGCCTTGCCGTCAGCCGGCAAGGCAAGTCAGGCAAGTCAGGCAAGTCACCAGGTCGGCTCCAGTACCAAACACGACTCGAATGGAAGCCGAGCCGTTGAGAGTGTTACGCTCGTGTGAAAACGTCGGGCCTGTGTCGACATCAGCACGGAAGTCTTTGTTGACCTTCTCCAGCCAAAGCAGCGGCTGGTTCTTCGCAGTCCAAAGCATCTTGAAATGGGCACCTTCGTCATAAAGACTAAAAACAAGCTCAATCTTCCACAGGGCTGGGCACCTTCAACAGCATGCAATCAGGGTGTGATGCCCAGTAGGACAGGAAGGCCCCATGCCAAGTTCCGCACGACCCACTGGATGATGCGGGTAGCTTGGATCGCTGACAAGAATCACTTTGGATCTCGCATTGGCAAGCAGGGGCAAGTGGCCTAAGCGGGAAGAGATGCCGAGGACGGCATCACGAGACACGACGACACTGGTGCAGCAGAGCCGCACTGAGCCTCCACATCAAAACCATGCGATGGGCCCCCGATTTTGGTGGCCCAGAACCTGACACCGGAATCCCTAACCATGGGCCATCATGAGCCCTATGCCACAGCCGCTGTCTTTGAGCTTCTACCGGTAAGGCAAAGACAAGCCCAGCTCGTTGTCCTCATCCTCGTGGATTTTGATGGTGCCGGACTCTAGCTTCACCCAGCCGCAGGACGCTTCCTGCCAGCTTGTTCAAAATTACACTCTGCTGCAGTACAAGCGATCCAGGACATGAAGGTAATGGCACAGCCGATTTTGGGGGAGCCTGCCAGATGTCAAGCTGGTTCTGAGAGAGACCTTCCAGCTGGCGTTGACCCACGGGGTTGTTGTAGCGCCAGAACTTGTACTTGTTCTCGAGCACCTGCAAGGGGATCTGATAGCACTGGCAGCCGCCAGTCGACGACAGCGATGTCTACGCAACATATCAGCACATTGCCACTCTGGTGCCAGGGCGAGGGGCACTTTGCGTGATCTCCTGCACCACCCGATCGATCTCTGCCGTCCTGAGTTGCTGCAGCTGAAAATGCCCCGCCCACCGGGCTCAGCAGGTTATCCGTGATTGTCGTCTGGCGGCGGAAGTGGCGCCTTGGACAGTGTCTGGTACATCCACTGCCGCCCTTCGTTCAAAGAGCGTAGGGGGAGCAACAGCTCGTTCTCAAGCGCCAATAGGACACCGTCCATCGATACAGGTCCAATACTCTCCTCGGATGCACTGAAGCAGGAACGAAGACCGCGTTTACGAAACTACCGGTATGAACCTTTCAACTGATGATTGTCCCTCTGCGTCAGGGTTCAGCCTTTCTTTGCAGTACAGCGACGCGATTTTAGTTGCCAAATTCCTACAAAGCATGTCGAACCTCGTGCATGCGAGCAGTGTGATATGGAATGCCCAGCACGATGTAGTTCAGAGATTAACACCCTTGAAATCTTCTGCAAGCACTTTGAAGATCAGAACTACATGGGTGGATACAGGATGCCAAATTCTACCCTCTGGCTGCCAAGAATCTGTTTGACAGCCAATCTCGCGAACAAATTGGGAGCCTTGGGCGATAGCTACATGCGAGCCAGAAAGCATTATCGGGGTACCGTTCTTGAGCTGGGCCAGCTGGGCTTTGCTCTGTCTAGCTGCAAGGCAGGTGAGGGAGTTTGAACAATCCACCCACTCGCTTTGGATGCTATTTTGAGTGTCGGCGTTGGGGGGCGCTAATCGGCCCGTTCCCTCTACTCCGACCGTTCCACTCGTTCCACTCGCTTCAACCGTTCCACACGTGTTCCATTTGCCCTTCGCGGCATACGCACAGTGTGGCGCGAGTGGCACGGGGTTCGGGGCCGAGGGGCCTCATGGCAGAGGAATGGGATGCGGAGCGCCCAACCCGTTCCATGTGTTCCACAATGGTGAATGTGTTGGACTCGGAATGGGGCACGGGGCGCGGGGCGAGTGGAACGAGTGGAACGGGCACAGCGAGTCGCGCACGAGTGGCGCGAACGGCTTTCATTTTCCCCACGTGCGGTCGCAATGGCTATTTTTGCTATTCTACAAGGTAATACTCTTCACAAGACAAAGAACCTTCTCAACAAGGACGGGCTGGTTCACTTCCATAACTGGGATTCTTAACATCCCTGGCCAGTGATGGCATCAATACTACATAGAATACTCGGCCGGCTTCAAGAACAAGTCTGCCAGCGTCTTGAACCTTGATTTATGCGGGCACCCAAATTCGTTGACACTTCCAAGAAACAAATTGCATCCTCGCTTGGGCGAGTCTTGCAAAGCTTTCGCACTGCTTCTGCGGACTCATTCGAGCGTTGCCTCGCAAGCTGCAAAGTCTGCTGCAGTATCATGACGGTAGCCCCGACACTGTAAAAGCATAAGCGGCCGAATCTGAGTTGCAGAGCACTCCGGACGAAGACACAGCTGTGGGAAGAAAGGTTTGTGAAATGCTTCATGGCTCAGGGCAAGGCTGAGACTTCTCGAAGGAAGAGTGCTTGCCCTCTCGGTACGTAAGACGATCCACTGGATGTTGAGGAGGAAAGCCGTGACCCAAAGCAGCATAATCCTTATATGTCTCATGGCTGACAGACATTGCGGCGAATATTGGTCGAAAATCAGGACGAGAAATTCTCCCCTTCTCTACACAGCAGAATCATGCCAATTCGGCCAATCGACAATGCATCTCGCAGCTTGCTCTGCCAACAGCCTCAACGTCCGAACCATTTTCCAAGACATCGACCAGGAACGGAAGCGCTCCACCAATTCGGAGTCTGATCAGGATAGGCGTCGGAACAAACTAAGGGATATAAAGGGTTTCGTGCAGGATTCCTTCGAGGGCTCCGTTTGACTTAGGGTTTAAGGAGTCTTGCTTGAAGGCTAACGGTTCCGTCTAGGTTTGCTGTTCGGGTTCCTATATGGATCTATATTTATAGGGCGTTGTGGGATGTATGGTTTAGGGAGTTTGGAGGCTTACTTAGCCTTTAAGGGTTCCGTGTAGGGTTCCTTGTAGGGTTCCTATAAGGGCTTTGTGGTTTGCAGTAGGGAGTTTTGAGTTTGGGGTCGTAGCCACTGAAACTCAAACAAAATGACAACCTGCTTCTCTGCTCCTTGCCCTCTGCACCTCCAAGCATGTCTGCGAGGGTCTCCATGTCTTTATCCACGATTGCATCTGCTGCATCAGCTCGTGGTTCGTGCACAGACTTCTCCAGCCGCACCCTCCTTGTTTAAATGACTCACAACATCAGAACAGGTGCAAGTTTCTCTGAAACATGAGTGATGCAGCTTGGGCAAGCACCCCAACAACGAAGGATTGACCGCAAGGTCCGGTGCCATCCTGCTGTCAACATTTATTCATGCCCTTGCAAAGCTGGCGGCACTCAGTTCTGCCTGTCAAGGCTTCTGAACCCAGCTGCTGTCGATGACATGCGCGGGGCTCAACTACTCTCGTAACACCTTTTCAGCAACCATAACAGCATGCCTTGCCAAAACTGTCATCGTGCCCTCCCTGACGTCTGTTCAGTGTTCTCGAACCTGTTGTGTCTGTCATCCTTAGGGCCATGTCCGGCAACTCTTGACAACTTGAACCGCAGTTGGCTGCAATTTCTGGTCGGATGCTCCAAAGCTTAAGCAGGCGAACTCAACCGTATGGTTGCGCGCTGCGCGTTTCCCCCAACCCCCGCCCACTTGCCTGAGCCAGCCTCAACCCTGAAGCCCAAAGCACACAACCATTCCATGGGGAAGGGGGCGGGAACTAGACTCCCCCAAGCCGTTCCACAGAAAGAAGGGGAGGTGGGATGACCACACGCAGAACCTTTGGGGAAGGCCAAACCCAACGAGCTTCGCCAACGAGCTTCCCAAACTCCGAAGCTCAAGGCCCAAGACTTTGCACGGGCGCCGCCTGGGCGCAACCTGTATGGCTAAGTCGGGAGTAAGTGGAACAACATGACGTGACTTGCACATGCACTCACGCGATAAAGTGCATTGGACTCAACGACGGTCTTCCGCTTTGACAGTGATTAACAGTCCTGTCTTGATAATTCCAACGACCGTCTCCGGAGCCGGTGCCAAGTCTGCTAAGTGGTCACTGGCCCCTTATTTCAGGAGGGCCCCAAATGGCGTCATCCGAGTTTCTTTGCTGATGCGCGCAGCATTATGAACATCAAGTTGTCTTGCACTTCACAGGGCATGGACGTGACGATACAACGCAAAACACAAAAAGCAGACTCACGAGCCACGAAGTCCGGAAGCAGGAACTCTTGGACACCAAACTCGAGTTCGAGAGTATTTCGCGTGGGCTCTTCGCTTCAACGTGCTCTGTAAGTCATCAGCAGGCCATCCCCATTTTAAGGATGCTGGCTGCGCTGGAGCCTCAAACGACTTGGATGTCACGTCTCATGTTGAAGTCATCTTGAACTTGGGCTTGGACCGTTTCCTCCCGCCACAGGCCAAGAGCACCTGAAACGGCTTCGCAGTCTTGCACTCTGCACACGGCTCACCATCAGTCGGGACGTGCAGAGAGTTGACAATCATAAATCTTGCAGCATCGCACGGTCGCCACCTTTGGCATTGAACAGTGCTGGTACGTATTGATGGCAGTAGTTAGAGAGATTTATTGACCAAAACGTCACGAACTGGCCTGCAATGCGCTGATGAGCTGCTTGAGGCTCAATACTGCGTCAGCCTGTGTTCACAGTCCAATTGCAGAATGCTTCTGCAGAGCTGGATGCGACCAACAAGCTTGTCTACCTCTTCCTTAAAGTCACCCAGTCGCTCTGCAGCCTGAACCCCTCAAGTAGAATCCATTCCTGGTGGTGCCCAGGCCCCTTTCTCGGGACGCGGGGGCCCCAGTGCTTCGGCGGCAGTGTCTGCTGCATCTTGCAGGACCGGGCTAGCATGGGCTGGCTGTGCAGTGCTGGCCGGGGATGCTAGGCCCACTTGAAGACGCTTTCCACGACGGACTAGGATTTGGGCGACTCTCCACATGTGCATCTCGAGTGAACACGGAAGTTTCCTTGCCTGTGCCGCCGTCAAAGGCACTTGGCCCCTGCACCAAAGATCTGTTGGCCGTGAGCCTCAGAACTCGGAAGCCAAGACAACCGGAAGACCTGACCTCACGGTGTCGAGGCTTTTCCTGGTTGAGGGCACGGCAGGAGCTGCTCTCGGCGGTCCAGAAGTTCGTAGCGCTCCACGGCAGCGCCTCGATAGTCGATCGGCGAAGGCCTTGCCAATCGCAAGCTCTGAACAACATGTGCGAAGCGGATCTCGTCAGCAAATCAAGGCGTTCTGACAAAATGACCAAGAGTCATGATGATTGCAAACAGCATAGCCGTCTCGGCCAAGCGCGCATAGTGAAGGCAAGCCATCTTGAACGCTGCAAGCACGAGTGGAGCCTTCCGAGATCGCGTTTCCCCCTAGCCCTGGGCGCAGCGTACAACTGGCTGTGCGCACCTGCCCACTGCAAGAGACGCAGCGATTGTCAACCCTCACCACAGGCTTCTGGGCCTCGTGAGGGACTCAGCAGGCAGCAGCGCTCAGAAGGATGCATGCGCAACGTGACGTAACGGTGCGCGGTTCCGCAAAGACAGTGCTGCAACGGACAGCACCTGTGGCAATCCGTGGTTTGCATCCGTGTTGGACGCGTTGGACGGCTTCATGCCTCCGGGCCTAAGTTAGCGCAAGGCGTTGGCCGTTTCCAACCGACAATTACCAACAACCTGCTGGGTAGCAAACGCCGATTTCACACGGCCTCAGACAATGTGCAACATACACGCAGTGATCCCAGAGTGCGCAGTACGGTGCCGATAAGTGATTGAGCTGAAGCTCAAGCACAAGCTACATATTGCCTGCTACAAGACCTGCTACATTCAGGTAAAACTCAAGCACTAGATTGCAAAGGCACGGGCGTGAATCAGGCCCCGAGTATGGTGGCAAAACCAACATGAAAAGGAAACACCGTGATCAGCTTGAACTAGGCTCCGCGGCACTCCGGTCTGGGTTGCTGAGGTTCAGTGTGTGTCGTGCGGGCCAGAGTTCGCCTTGAAACGTCTTCCACACAGAACCCACACAGGAACAACAGCGCACGGCTCACGAAAGCTTTGGATCCAGGTCTGACTGGGCTGCAGTCTCGTCATCTTTGACCTCGCCAACCAAGCGGATCACATCTTTAGGATTGGCATTCTTGGACCGGCACCCCCATCAACGAAATTCTGTCACGATCCACTGCATCCTGCTTCTCGAGAGCCTTGGAGGAGACTCTGGAGAAAGTCCCCGTGACCGTTAGTTAATGTCGCAGAGTCTGGGTAGGCGGCACACTGCATCAGCTCGCTCTCCAGGACTGGCTGCAGCCTGAACTGACCCTGTGCGCCACCAGATTTGGACGTCAGATCGGCTCAGGTTTCAACACCGAGTAGATGTGCTCGATTCCACGGAGGACTGCCTCATGGGGCTTCTCGATGTTCGCATGATGTGCAATCCGACACACCCTCACAAGGCGCCGGGCATCTGAGTTGTCAAAAACACCACCAAGTCTCTTCTTCAGCGCCTTCAGCCTTACGGCTACGGTGTGGCTACAGCACAGTGCAGGCAGTGCTCGACACTTCGCAGAGATGTTTTCATCACAGAGGCGTTGCCAAGGCACTCGTTGTCTGCCGAGGTTTTGTCCCTCTTCCTCCGTCTGTTGAGTTCCTGCAGACGCATGCCCCCACAAACGGGAGCTACAGCTCCCGTCTCACGGCGCCTCCAGCTCTTCACGTGCTTCGGCAGCCAAGGCGTTTGCCTGCGGCGCAGAAACGCAAAGCCCAGTCGCAGAGCAACGATCGACTCCGGAAAGAAAGACTTCGACCTGTTGTAAACCTGGTCTGTGGCAAGACTGCAGTTAACAAGCTTTTCGGCTCACAAGCTCATGATTCAATGACTTGCGGCGGGTCTGCAACATCCGCGACTTCGTAGTTCCTCCTGGGAAATCGACCTGCCCATACACCTTCCGCATAGACTTCAGGAACAGACTTCGGACTGTCGGCCCACATGTATGTTTCAAATGCATTCCAGAGCGAGACAAAACACACTCTGACAAACGGGGCATCTGTACTACACCTTCGACGGGCAACGAATCTCAGCACACTGGCACTGACTCACATCTCTAGACGCACAGGTCCGCAGCGAGAGTTCTCAAGACGAACTGGTATCATGGGCTGCGGGGCGCTGTTTTTCAAACACACGACGAGTCAGCAGGCGCAAGCAAAACCGCGGCCACGGCCTTGGATGCCACCTCATCTACACGCAGCTCCAGGCTCTCCACACTTTGCGTGGCTTTGCTCATAAAGCTCTTCACCTGAAGAAGTTGAAGTAGAGAGTCTAGAGTCTAGAGTTCTGCGAGTCCTAATATCACAGAGAACCTCTTCCCGAAGCTTCGCGGAGTTGGACAGCTCGACCTTCGTCGTGCAACAATGTGCGCTGCAAAGGTCAACCGCAGGGGCGCTTCTCACTTGAAGCAGCTGCCGAGGCCGGCTATGAAAAGTGCAATCAAGGCACCTGATACTCCTCGCGAACCTGCTTCACAAAGTTGGCATTGTGGGATGCGATGGTCTCCGACGCAGTGCGAAAATGCTCTCGCACGTCGTTCACCACCTGCACAGAGATGCTACAATTTCAGTGCATGTGCAATGCCACAGGATAAGTTACATGATAAGTGTGGCACTTCGATATGACAGAAGCGCGGTCTGACACGGCAAATTTGAATGGGGACGGAAGCAACGACTGAACTAGAAGGTTTGCTACAAGCCAACGGTTACTTCGGTAGAGTCCGGTAGAGTAAGTCTGACCATGCAAGCACATGCATGGTTTTGCTTCGGAGAAATGAAAAGCTGTGATTCCAGTGTTCCGTCAATGTCGCCGGTACATTGATACTCGTTACCACATGCAAGCTCGTATGCCCTGCATTTCTGAACTTGATTCAAGTCCGCTTCATTCCACTACCCTGAATACACTGCACGACATCACGCAAGACCGAACTACATCATACTTCGATACATTACATTGCATTGCATGGTATTGACACACACTACCCCTTCCTCACTGCACTTGCAATCAGATTCAGTCCACTCATCTGTGTGCAGTTGTGAAGAGGGAGAGAAGTATTCATGGATCGATCGATGATAGACGGGACAGACGGGCTTAGGTAAATTGATGGAAACCGACAGACAGCTTGATCGTTTCATATATTGAAAGGTCGAAAGAGAGAGAGAGAGAGAACGAACATGGAAAGATACTTAGATAGGCGGCTACTGTAAATATGATATGTACATACATGAGTGTATACAAGCGAAAAACTTGATATAAACTTAACATACATCATGAAACATGTAGTGACACATACGAAGTACCTACACAGGCTGGCACTGCATAGCAGAGAGAGACCTCAAACTTCTTGTCTGAAGTGGGTGCGGAGATCGAAGTCACACCTCCTTACCTCTCATCAAGCAAGCAGACAACATGGCCTCACCAACGGTCTGCCGCATCTGTGAAGTCGAGGTCTTCGCCTCATGCACCATCTTGGCCACCTGGCAGGAAACGGCTGTCGAACTTCTCAACCATGATGTTGCATGCTCGGCACGAGGACTTTCAGGACAGGTAAGCGAGCCCACGGAACGTCTGCCCGCAACTTCTCCAGCTGCACGGCTTCTGCCTTGCCTTCTTGCAGAGCAGCTACTGCGTCCTGCACTTTCAGGGTCATCACCGAGCATGCTTAATGACTTTTCGACTCTGCAAAAAAGATGAATGCACTCTGGAACCACCATCCTCGAGCTTGCCGAAGGTCGCATTCGTCTTTTTCAGTTCTCCGGCAATCTTGGTAAGATGTCCAAACATCAGAGATCTGACAAGGGACCCCGAGCCGAGCCCTGGACCTTAGCCAATCCCAGCTCATCTCCCCAGAGCTCATCACTCAGGGCATTGTGCTGCCTCTCCATGCTGGCAAATCGGACCTCGCTTTGCAGATGCAAACACGATTCGGAAGCGCCAGGCTATGCCTATGCCAGGGTTCCAGCTTCGGTTTCAGCTTTGAACTGAGTGAATCGTCTGCTCTGCTCGTCCTTGGAGCGTCACGTGCTCACGTCGGCATCATTGCTCGGTGTTACACTGTCACTCCCATCCAGGCAGTGAGCGACACGAGCTTCACAGATGTCCCGAACTGCGTCCTGATCCTTGCACCGGACCAGGCATGAGGTTTTTGCATCCAAGCACACCACAGGGGTGGGATGCTACGTCGCGGCTCTCCTCCACAAGTCGGTTTACCTCATTGGCCACCCGTTCCAGATTTCGCTGCATATGATGCAGCGTGGATCTGAGCACATGAGATTGCAATCGTGAGAAAACTGCGTCCATTGTGATGACACCATTGGCTGCAGAGCTGTGATTCGCACTCCTTCTGTTCCAGAGCAAACCCTGGCAAGCTCTGGCCAGCACATCAGCTCATAAAGTCTTACAAGGACTGTGCCTCACAAAAAACGAGGCAGTTTTGCGCTGTGCTTCCAGCTTCTGCAGCATAGCTTCCAGCTTCTCATCCATGGAGGCCTGATCGGGCAAAGTTGCAACGAACGGCATTGTATATAATGTGCGGAGTCCAGCAACTCAGCAACCGACCCCGCCAACCCGAGCAGTTTGCTGAGCGTTCTTTGCGGGCTTTGGGCTCCGGCTTTGCCCCTCGAAGCCTCCTAGCTCCCCAGTACACTCTCTTCTTCAGGCCTTTGCAGGCAATTATCGATGCGCGTGCCTGTGTGTGTGTGTGTGCGTGTGACTCTCTATGTGTGTATGTGCGTACGTGCGTACGTGCGTGCGTGCGTGCGCGCGTGCGCGTGCTTGCAGCTCTTCACCAGCCCGCCAAAGAAAGTGAGGCTCGCGAGTCACACCTAGAGCATATTAGCCGCTACTGTATTAGCCTTCAAGGAACCCCAAGCAGTCGGCAACAACTTGCGCAATGAGATGCATGTCATATACAAGTCCAAGTGCTCGCGATCTGACCATGTTCCGTCTTCGAATGGCTCATACTGCCCTGAAGTCAATCAAGTCTGCAAGCGGAGGAGGGCCTCCGCGATTCGTCGCTGACTGTCCCACCGACCCATTTCCTCTTTGATCTGCGCCACGGCGCCGACCTGCAGGGATCTGGCACGTGATCATCGGCACACAGCCTGACTCGACATTGTCGTCGTGAGTCTGGCCTGCTCCTGAAAGCGAAGCTGGCCCAAGTGGAGAGAGTCCCTGGCAATGACATTGGTCTCTGTTCAAGGGCCTGAATCTCGCCTGCATGACGGAAATGCAACGAAGGGTGTCGAAAGTCAAGATAAAGTGGGATGAGCATTTCTCTCCTCTCAGACGATAACCGCCCCCGTGGCTTCTGGGGTGCTAGAAGCAGTGCCAATGGTTCCATTCAAATTATCCGAGGATTCGTGCCTGTAGTGGCTCCGTCCCTAGAGCTTCGATGTCGACAACCACAGCCGACATTGCAGATCAAATCCCTTTGTGCACACCATGTATGCCCTCAATAAAAATGCACTTCTCGATACCCTTCCGAGATCGAAAGCTCACCAAGATTTCTGAGACGTATAACGCAGCATGCGGGCATTGATGAAGGCGCAGCCTGCTGCACCCGATGCAACCCTTCTACGTCGGAAATATGCTATTCAGATCTATTCAGCGATACGGGATCTTTCTTAGCTCTTATATCAGAAGGCATGACCCCAAAGTATGGACTTCCTCGTTGGTTAGCGAAAGAAGCATTCCTGTTAACATCGATGTGCCCTGACGTGTACCCTGAAGCATGCACATCTTCATTGTGGACACCGGTTGATGCAAAAAACACCCGATGCGAATATGTCGACACTAGCACAAACCTCCTTCTCTCTCGCTTTCCCTCTCTTTCTCTCGCTTGCTTGCTTGCTGTTTCGTTCTTCGCCCGGTGACAACCAATATCTGCATCTCACGACATCCCACCCAATCTGGCTGAAAGTTGAAACTCTAGGCAGTCAGCACGATCATCTTTTCTAGCCCGCTGCACTGAACACCTCGGCTTGCCGCCACGGTGTCAGACGTCGGCGAGTCATCGCTGTTCTGGTGCGAGTCACTTCCGAGGTGCGATGCGTCCAGTCTGTTCACCAGCTGTGCGTTACAATCGTGTGCTCGACTGTGGCGGCGACCATGCTTCAACGTAGTCAAACGATGTCAAACGTGGCAACCTGCGTCAATTCAGTTCCAGACCTCTGGTCGGATCCTGAGAGTTGAGGTAGACTGCCCTTGAGTGGCAAGAAGCAGCTCGCTGTGCTTGACCACGAACCACACCGGTGCGCACCAACCAGAACTTTCAGAGATCTCGGGACATAAAACCGGGCTGGTTTCGGAGCCTCCCGCTTCTCACACGACCATTCTCTGCACATTCAATGCTGTGACTGCACCACCATGGCCCTCCAGGCTGCGCTGAGTTAACCCGTTGTGCAAGTCCATGAGATGTAAGCCTCGAAGCCAAGCCGAAGCGGTGCATCTAAAGTTGGCACAGTCCGGGGCCCCGACTTCCGTTGCTCGAGCCGCAAAGAGCCTGCAGGCAGGGACAAGTTCGTTTCTTGCGACAGCCCAATTCTAAGTTGATTTGGAGTTCGGGATGTCGACGTACAGATGAAGACTCACTGTCTGCAATGAACTGAAGGCAACAGCATAATCATTCTATCGAGCATCAACCCAAAATCGGAACCCAGAGCTGAAGAATGGCCTGCTGCACTTTGAAATCAACTGCCAAAGATCGTACGCGGCCAAATTTGCCTGAGATGTCACCGCCACACCGATGCAAGCATGTGCAGCCGTTTTGGCGACGGAAACGGCGGTTTTTGTGTCAGGATGCATTCGTGCGCTTGTATTTGGGCCTTTTTCTCCAGGTTCCAGGTGATGAGTTGGGCATCCCAGCCAGCCGTGACTGCAGTACCATTGGTCCAATCCACGGCAAGGTCCTGAGGGCTGACATGGGCTCACATGGGCTCGGCCAGGCCGCGTCTGCAGCTGACTGCTACTGCGACGTAACTGCATCCATGCCACTGCCACAACATCCGCGTGTCCTGGCATCACTTCCCCTCCTATGCTGAATTCACCCATTGCTTCGGAAGTTTGACCCTGGCGCCTTGTAGTAAATCTGCTTGGGACACATTAGGATTGGTCGTTTCATTCTCTGCCTCAAGCAGGCAGAGAAAAACCTACGGTACCTATACCGTGCGAGACGTCTAGTCGTCGAAGAGACGAAGAGGAAGAGAATCGGGAAGAGCAAACGGGGCCCTAAGACATCGTAGACCTGCAATGCCGAACATACTATTCCACACCCAATAACTTTCTGCGAGGAGCCGAGGCATCGAAGTTCCACAGCTGCAGATGCTTGGTCGAGCTTCCCGTTCCAGCAAGCAGCTGGGACTTCGTCCAGTCTACTGAGATACACATCAAGCCACCAGCATGTCCGCTCGATGTGTGTACACATGTCCAATCGCGTACATCCCAGATCTTGAAGTTTTCGTCTCCAGCACTGACCAGCCTGTCGCTCTTGAAGTTCGCTTTTAATGCCCAGACCCCGCCACGGTGTGCCGGGAAGGTCGTTTGCAGGCCTGCAGTGGTCATGGACCATACTCTCAAGGAGCCGTCCCCGCATCCGGCAAGCGCGCGGCGACCCCTCCAGTCTGCTTCAACTGCCGTGCAACCTTCCGGAACCTCGGCCATCGTCTTTTGGCAACCACCCAGCTTCAGGTTCCAAAGTTTTGAGGAGTCATCCGCGCCACTCACGGCTTCAAAGGTTTCCCAGTTGACTGTCAAGGAGTGGACAGTTCCTGTGTGACCTTCCAGAACACGGATACATTTCGTTTCCAACTCCAAATCCCATAAACGCACTGTGCCGTCTTCAGAACCACTCAGAACCATGGCTGAAGCCCTGGCTGGCTGAGAAATTGAAGTCGGTTCGTCGACAAAGGCAGAAACCGGCTGAGGTGTGGGATCCCAATTGTCGAAAATAGGTGCGGCCGCCGGTTGTCCGACATTCTCATCCACATCTTCGGCCTCCAATCCCTCTGCTTCCTCTTCCTCCGCAGCCCGTTTCTCCTCTTCCTTCTCTTTCGGAAACTTCATGCTCGTCGCATTTGGTGGATGCGGTGCTTCTTCCTCGACTTTCGCTCTTTTCCGGTTGTCTTTGGAATCCTTCTCCTTCTTGCTTTTCTTATCTTTGGCATCTTTGGCCTTCCTCCTGAAACCACTTCAAGCGGGGCTTGCACAAATACACGGTTCATGCACGCCAATCAATGCAGACTCAACTCTTGTGCAAAGTGTCTTCTCGTCTGATCGTTTATGTGAGTCTGCCTTTTTGCTTTCACCTGCAAAAGCTTCAACAACAGAGGCGTTCGACATGTGCTGCGTGACACACCACACACAATAGTTCCGAGGCCTCCGATCTTCTGAGTGGTATCTTCCTGCACAATATGCCGCAATGGACAACATGCTCACTACAACTCAATATCCTACGAGAGATATCCAGAGACCATGTCACCCCTTCACTTGACAAGTGCGAGTGAGTTTCCCATGCTTTGAACTGTTTTCTCAGTCTGTTCGTCGCGATCTGCTGGTTCACGCCAATTCGCGTGTTCTGGTGTTCGTCGTGTGAGCCCAACCGTGTTTTGGACCCTGATAGAAGTCATTGGAAGTCCGTTGACTTACTCCGAGTTCGGGGGTGCGACCTTAGTAGGAGTGAGCTGGGGTAAAGTACCGAAACATGAATCGGCTTCGTCTATGTTGCTACAGCCGGTATCGTGAATGCTTCAGCAGCATGCCCAAACATGCAAGGTGGTCAACATCTCAAGTTCTTCTGCCAGGCAGTTAAGACCAGAAGAACCTCCGAATGTCTCAGTGCAGTTGCAAACCTGGACCGCCAACGGATTGCTGCCACTTGCTCCTTCTTGCCCTTTCTTGCCCTACTTGCCCACCGGACTCGCCCTCCTCTTAATTGCCTGCACCTGTTTTAACTCCTGAAGGATGAAGGCCCGGGGCTACATTCCTGCACAGAGATTCTTGCCGAGGAGGGTGTGGAGAGAGGCAGGGGACCTGAAGGGGGAGGGGGGGGGGGGCCGTTCTCGGGAAGTGGCGCAATTCGTGTTGAGGTTCCAGACGACCACATGCAACAAGAGTGGCCAGCAGGGCGAATCTAGCTGGCCCTGTGTCTGCAGGATTACTGGGCTTTCTCAACGAACATCAAAACGTTTGACACACGTACGTAACACTTCAGAACTGAAGATCGTGTCCCTTTAAGCGTCGACCTGTTTCCTGATGCCGCAGTGGCATGTCACACCGCCAGAACGGGAGAGACTGGGCATGACACGCACGTCACAGCCATGAGAGCTCCGACGCAGGACGACGAGACTCTATTTATGTCTAGACTGTTGTCAAGCTGACCGTGGGAGCATAGCCAAATGCACACACTGCCACATGAATAGACTAAAAACCTTGTAACTAGCGCAGCCCAGTGTCACTCTAGGTCGTACAGTGCACGGGCACAACTGCAGACAACGGCCTCTTGCCTTTGAGTAAGTGCGTCTGCGTCTGCATGCGCATGCATGCGCCATGTTGATGCGCACCTTCTTCTCTACGCGACCGCCTTCTGTAGACTCTGCGGCATGGAGCTGAGTAATCTCGGAGGAGATCATACGCTGAACTTCATCCTGAGACACACAAAAGCAGAGAGCACAGGACGCATGTGCCAGACATGGGCCAACGTCACCGCATCTTAGGGCGCCTTCTGGGTCTCCAGAGCTCCCGGCTCGAGGCCGAGGGATGTTTCCAATGACGCACGAAGTTGGCCTCGGGCAGATGCGGAGTTTGCCCTTTCAGCTGCTGTGCTTGCCCTCGCCCCTGTCATGTCTACGACTTGAAGCTTCAACTGCACCAATCCACCGACAGTGACCTGGGACGTGAGTGAGATATGTCCTACTCCTACTTCCTATAGTCTATAGTGACATAACCTGCATGCCAGGAGCCTACTGAAGTACTTTTCAAGTCGACTTTTGTCAGCAGCTTCCGCACTTCTGCTTTCATACGGTCGGTACTGATGCCAGCCATGGCTGCGCATTTACCGAAGTGCCCACAGAGCACGGGTGTCAAGACCCAAAGGGGACTCTCCGAGCCACGAAGCGGAGTGCAAAATGTTCAACATTGAAATACCCTTTCTGCATGGTCTGCAATCTCAATCTCTGCATGCTGTTTCGGGAACGCTGGATGCAGGGTTGATCATGTACATCAAATGCAGATACCAGACCCGGTAGTTACTGCCAATTTGCGCCAGCAGGGCAGTTCCTTCATGTGCCTCGCCACGGAAGTGTTGAGATGCTCAACCTTTCCGCAGGTGCTCGAGTCTAAAACCGGCAGTTGAACAAACACCACATTCGCGCTCCACAGCACCGCAAACAGCACACCATGGCACACCGAGAGCTTCGATAGGACCGGTTATAGTCAACATGCTCCTGCCCTGCGGGTCGGAACCTCCCCCCCCCCCCCCCCCCGCCTTTGCGATCACCAGACGCTGGGACTTGAAATGTCTTGACGGGAACGAACATGCTGGCACCCTCTGTCGTGGCTGTTCGACGTCTCGATATCTCAACTTGATAGTTTGCGGATGCTTCAGAGCTTCGATACGAACCCAAGCCCGCGATGTGCTATGGAGGGGGTACAGGAGAGAGCCCTTTCCAAACCATCCTCTCCGGGAACCTGCTGCTTTGGGACGCCTCTTTGCAGCAGCTGAGTCCATTTCCCTCTGGCGACCCATTCCCGAGGCGCCGAGCAGAGCGGGAGGAGACCATCGATTCGAGGCGGTTCTTCCATTTGGGCTGGGCCGACCCGCAGAAGCGAGGACGACATGCGAATCAGTGGAGATGGAAGCGACACCACGGAGGAAGCCGAATCCAAAGCCAGACACGGGCGACACCCAAGTGTTCGTGGCTGTTCGAAACCAGAGACGTTCAGGGCTCTCGGTGACGACTCAACTCTATGACGAAAGGGGACGAAGAATACCCTGACTTGGACTGCACTGCGCTCCGATGCGCTCCGGAGCTGGCATCGAAGACATTTTCGAAATAATGGACTTGCCGAAAAGCCCGACGGCTCTCACCGCCAAATTAAATATGGATCTTGCATGGCTGCGGCTGTCACACGGATAATAAACACTCGTTGAAAACTACGCATCAAAGCACAAGCGCTGCCTCAGATCCCAGAACGGTCATCTTCTGGACAGTCGGCTCCAGAAGCTCCTGCCCAGCCAAGTTCAGGCGAGCGGCTTCGTAAAAGCTCACAAAGCCACGGACAGAAAGAGTATGTCTCTGGTCTCTCTTGGAGCACATCTCGGCTGCGCACTGGTTGCTCAGACTTCTCGCAACTATTGCTACATGCTATGACCGCCAGGAATGGCTGTGAACAGGGCGTCTCGATATATACTCGATCAATCTGACATGGTGAATCATGGTGGATTTTCGAGCGGTCATAGAATCACAAGAAGTCGCAGCGATGCTGCAAGAGGTGCTGAACTCCAACATTCTGCTCGTCGCTGCATGTGGCGCGGGTTCCTCAGGTTGGGGTCATGGGGTGAGGCCGGCGGCCTTTCACAGGCAAGCCTGGGCGGCCTGGATCGAATCTCGCATAGCACGTCTCCGAAGCATGGTCTGCGTGGGCTAGCGGGCCAGCATGCCGGCAAACTCGTCTTTGACATTGCCCTTTGACGTATGCACGATGGGACACTGCATCAGTCATCGTTCCAGCGCGCGGCAGTTTCTGCCAAGTCTGAGACGATGCGTGTACCAAGCCCTCCGCCGACTACCAATGAGATCAGATCTTCTAACAGCTCCACGTTCCCTAAGATGTCGACGTGATCTCCCGAGGTGGGTCCGCCACGCAGGCTTCCGGACATTACACCTTTGGGCCCAGGCCTGTCTTTGTACTCTCGCACTGTGCATGGTATCCTTGCAGGATTCCTGGCTTCGTTTTTCCAGCCCTTTGTGCACATGAACCCCAATGAAAGAACGGGGCAGGAGTAGTCACCGTCTCCAAGCAAGAAGCCTGCATTCGGCGCGTGGGCCTCCCTATCAATACCGTATTTGGGACGTTGGACATCATCACCAGATGCTTCCAAAGCTCCCGTGTACTCGGTAGAGACTCCCACACCGTATAATGCATACATCTTCATCTGAGGCGCAAAGGGCAGGACGGTTGCCAGCGCATTGCCCCAGGTTGTGTCTTTTCTCTGGTGTTCTGCCTGTGCTTCGATCGGTGTTGAAGCACGAATTCCCTGCAAGAGCCAGGCCTCAATCCGCTGTAGATCCTGTGGAACGTGCCCAGCACTGGCAAGCAAATCGTATGCTTCTTCAACCGTTAGGTTCTTGCCCTGCACTTGCACCAATGGCATGCCTGTGACCTGCTGCCCCCAGACTGCATTTCCACCAATCGGCATGATCATCGACAAGGATGAGCAGCTTCTCCAAAGACTCCGACGCGTGTTGCTACCAAAGTAATGGTTGACAACAGCACTGAAAGTGCCCATGGTAGCAAAGTCTCTGTTGTCACCTGTAAGGAGCGAGAAGTACGCTTTCGGCAGGCCAAGCAGTGGAGATGAAATCAGGATTACCGAGTCAACATGATTGTGCACCCAGTTGGGATGTACGTGATGCGTGACCCATTGCATGAAGTAGTGAAACAGGTTTCCTCCCATGGAATGCGCCACAATCGCTGCCTTCTCGCGGTTCATCTTCACGAGGGTTTCGATCTGCTGCATCAGCTTGGTGAAGTACCAATCTCTCCGCTCCATGTCTTCGAAGGACAAACGCCAATCATACGAAGCCATGTACATTGAGTTTTGGTCATATCCAACATCTGCAAGAGATTCAATCATTAGACCCCACAGCCAGTAGCCGCCAATGAAGAAGTCAGCACTCTCAAAGCCCTGAGATGGGCGAACACGGATCGTGCGGTTAAAGTGCGGCTGCTGCAGTGGATCGAGGCCAGTAGTTGTGTTGAGAGACATGTGCCGAACCCAGCAGTCTGGATCACGGACCATAGCTTGCAGCATGGTCGTGGTGCCCCAAATCCTCTGCCTGAAATAATTCTTGATGCAGTCCTCTCCATCCCAAAGTTCCAAGCCAGTCGTGATGATCCCAGGAACCATTATGATCGGATGCTTGGCAACTTTGCCTTCACGGGCCATTCGGATGCCAACACGCTCACTCTTGCCCAAGACTTGGCTGATGGCAGGCACCTGCGCGATTGAAACACATGCTGCTAGTCCCCGGGGATGGTGCGCTCCGTTTAGGTGTTGAATCCCATCTCTTGGATATTATAAACCAGTTTTCTGCCATCTTAGATCTACAAAAAGTGCACGAGCACCACGACGACCACGACGACCACGACAAGAGCACGAGGAGACCGCCAGGAGACGGAGCATGGCACGCATGCTTCTCCCGATATACTGGCGGGATTCAGGAGGAAATCCTCTCTCCCAAGTAGTTACCGCTGCGATTCAAGGTTTCCGAGGCCAAGAATGGCCAAGAAGTGCTCCATGTGCTGGACTTCACAATACGTCTCCAGCGGACACCGCGCCACAGCGGGAGCCGCGTGTCGGGAACGGATAGCCACATACGAGTAGTCTGCACCAAACTGTTTGGGGCACTAATACCTCGGAGTGTGAGAAACGGCGGCCCTGCCTGCCAGTCAGGAAGGAGGTCCTTTACTCCCCCCAGGGACGTACGATTCTTGACGATGTCCGTGAAGCCTTTGCAACACTAGTGCCACGGCAAGCATGAAGCACGTCTGTGGCTCTGACATGCTGACACAGCTGCCCAATGTTGCATTCGAAAGTGCTTGAAGATCGAGCACTTCCTTCCACAAGTCACAAGTTCATGACATGATTGCCGGCGCATAGTTCTGTCATGTTCTGTCCTTCATCCGCGAAGTTGTGCGGAGCAGGCTGTCAACTGTGTCCTCGAAGGATGCAGGGTTGACAGCCGATATGCACATTGCCACATGAGATGAAACAATAGGAACTTGCTTGGCTGCTGCACGGTTTAGAAGTCAAAGGTTTAAACAAAAACAAACATCACAGCACATGTACCAAGCTGCTGATGACATCATCTCCTGAGCAGTGCTGAGTGCTTGCAGACGAGCACATTAAAAGGCAGCATGTACCCCTAACTAATCGCAGAGAGAGCTTCATCAAAGGCCTTGAAGAAAGTGTTGCTAGCGACTCTTGCTCGCTCGCGGAGGGGATCCGGCAATTGCTCCGGCCTTGTCACATGCTGCGGACTCTCTCACTGCAGTGACCCGTGAACTGTCTGAGATGAGAACCTCAAATAGCCGTAGTAGGATAGCGAGCACCCGAAGCCAAGAGCAAAGATGGCGGGGTAGGACAGCGAGATTGATAGGAGTGGCCTCTCGTCACAGTGTGTTGAAAACACACACACACACACACACACCTGACGATCACCTCGCGCCTCCGCAGGTATGCCGAAACGACAAGGTTGGACAGGAAGCCTCCTGAGACACCGTTCAAGTCACGAAGGTCATGGGCTATGCCGGCTATGCAACATCTGCGAACTTGGATCAAACTTGGCATATGGCACATTGGCTAAACGTGGTGTCCAGTGTACATCATTGTACATCTGCCTTACTACCACCACGATCGATCACATTACCTGCCCGCTTGTCTGTGAGGGATGGCTTACAACATCGAAGTTGCCTGGAACCTTGATGAATGAAACACGGTATGCCACGGTCCAGACCATAGGACCACAGCTAAGCTTCCACAAGGCCGGCACACAGATGCACAAGCAGCCGGGTGTTCAAGGATCCCTTCTGTACTTTTGTGAGAAACGCTCATAACCTAGCATTCGCCTTGAATCCGTGGGGAAAGTGCTTGGCACGCAGATCATCAGTCGAATGGCATGTGCAAAGATGGCAAGTTCATGAGTCAGTCGAAAGTCAAACTCCAGTTCTGCACAAGAGTCGCTCGGCTCGATCCGCATCGGCGCCCAGAGCATCCTGAGATTTTTGGCGAGTGCTCCTGAAGCTTCTGCACATCGAATCTTTTTCACGTTCCTCAAGGATGACTTGGCCAACAAGCATGCCGCAGCTGCCGTGATTTTTGGCTTCAGCAGCGCCCCTCTGTTCCCGTCCTGGAGCCCACTGATCTCTCACCACGCATTCTGATCCCCTCCTTCTCATGGTCGGCCATGAGACGCGAGCGCGGGGTGCACCGGACGGTGTGCAGGAGGCATCTCTTGACAGCTGAAATTGAACTGCGCGGGGGACTTGCATGTCTTCTGATTCTCATGCTCCACAAGCATCCAATCATGCCACAGTCATGCTCCTCTGACTCAGGCTGTCCGGGGCTAAAATACTTGACTACGAACTGGTCATGTCCGGTGCAGATTGGTCTCCGTGACTGCTGCTCGCAGCCGCGTTTCCATGTGGGCCTTAGACTAAGTCTCGGCGTTCCGGTACTGTCAGCAATCTCTCAACACTCATGTGGATGGCCAAAGCGCAACAAGAAATAGACACTGGGCTGTATGCAATCTGCAGCTCCATAGTGCCCTGCAGCCACACACAACAAGACAACCAGGGAGGTCGACACGGTCTGTCAAGGCACTCCTGGAAGACTGAATGCCATGTCCGAACAGCGTGTACGCGGACTGTTTCCTAAATTGTGTGGCACTTTGCACTTTTGTCACCTTTCATCGATTAATAACAAAAGGCCCCAGCAGCTACAGTGCAAATCAGTGCAAGCACTGAACAAGAAATGATTGGATAAGAAATGTTCGAGCTACATCAGCCGGATAGCACCAAAAAACCGAAAATTCAAACGCCTCCCAGCCGAGAAACGAAGGGCATCCAACGTTTTGGGGTCATGTCTTATTTGGCTGGGTGGTTCGTTTCTTAATTCGGGTGCTCTCAAGCCTGGAGCAACCCTAGAATCAGAAATGCAGGGGACTACGTTTCTTATTTCAGGGTGTTTCAAGCCCTGAGCCTGAGGCACAGGGCAGAAGCCAAAACAAGAAATTAAAGGTGCTACGTTTCTTATTTGGTGGTTTCCGGGCCCGAGGCCTAGTGCTCCAGGCCCTGAGCCTAAGGCACTTCCGAAGACTAAAGTGTCATACAATACTGTCTTGGCGGTGTCCGTCTAGCCGAATGGTTAAGGCCTATGGCACAGTACCTAGACTCCCATGTCTGGGCTCGAGACCCGGATAAGAAATGGTTAAGAAATGAAGGGCCGCACGATTCGGGAGCTGGGAAATGCGGAAATGTGAAACTGAAAGGAAGTTAAGAAATGAAGGGTGCCCAACGCTGGGAGCTGGCATCTCTTATCCAGCAGATGCACTGTAGGTCCAGCTAGGTCTACATTTGCATCATGCGGCTCTGTCAGCATCACCTGGCCTGCGTAAATTATGTGATCCCGGATTGCGCACAAGTGACTCGACTCCTACACCCAGCAGTAAACGGGCACAGCGTAGAGCACCAAGGGCGACTGGAGGTCACGAGTCATCATCAGCGTGCTGGAAACGAGAGGATGGTTGCTGTAGTCTGAACCTTGCTATGGTAGGTCCACCCCCTAGCTGGAAACACCAAGCTACTGCGAGTGGTATGAACCAGAAACTCATGCTGTGGTGAATGGCGTCCGGTTCGGGAAGCTTGGTGCATCGAAACGAGTGGATCACCTGAGGCACATCGGAGCAAGTACTTCAACCTAGGCTTTACGAACCTTGACTTACCGTAAGTCGCAGCGGCCTGTGCATCAGCCCAGCTTGGTCCTGGACGGTCACCTCCACAATGAGCAAGATTCTGCTGCAATGCAGACAATGCGAGATGGTGAGCTCAAATCCTGAGGGCCAAACTATCGCGACCATGCCTCTCCACTGCGGCCTTAAGTACTTCGAACATGCCGCAAACGCTTGGGGTAACAGGCATGGATCTGACATTTCGGAGCCAATCACGTCACATCAGGTCGGGTTCCGAGGAGCAGGCCATGAGCAGGGCTAAGTTCCACAGCTGAACGTCTGCCGAAAGCAGGCAGGTAGGGGGTTTGGCAATAAGAAGATAGATAGATATATATATATATATATACAGTATATGTATGTATATATATATATGATTATATGTGTATATATTTGCTCTGTGTCGATGCCACCATCATCTAAACGTTGCAGAATTTAAAGCCACACATAGGGACGATGCTGGCAGGCAGAGATCGGCTTTGCTTCGGGCGCGTCATGTGTGGCCAGGCTTTTGGTGTAAGTTCTGCATCAGCTGGGCGCCCTGATATTGGTGCGGGGCCTGTTTGACCTTGCAATGACCAGCCCTTTCTGACCATGTGACTGCCTCGACATGTGTCTAAGATACCTCAGCCAGAAATGGCAATTCCATTGCAGACGACACTGCAGCAAAATTGATACATGCACGTGATCTGCCGGCGACAGCTCTTCTTGCAGCCGCATCCGTACAGACCATCGGCCCAATCAGACGCACCTGACAGCCTCAAAAGATTTTGGGGACAATGGCGACGTCGCCCCTAGAAGCAAGACTGGTGTCACGTTGGCTGGGCTATATTCAATGAGAAATTCAATAGTATGGGACATCTGGGGTCTGCCTTAGACTGCCCATCCTGACAAAAATGGACCGGTCCTTATGCGCTTCCAATGTCCCAAAAGGGGTTGAGTACTTGGCTGCTTCTGGGCTTGGTACGGAACAAGCGCAAGCTCCACGCTCTGAGCTGCAGTCAAAGGTAACCGCAACAAATTCTCGGAAGATGAAACTGCTTGGCTTATGCGATGGCTTGTTTGCGCAGGAAAACAGAACTAGGCAAGTCGCCACCCACACAACACCTGAATCCTTCCGGCTTCTGCGTAGCTCAACATCCACTTTCGATCAGAGACACACGGTCTGAGACAAAGTTTCAAGAAGACGGACTGCATCTTCTGCTTGCGCACTCAACGCACAAGCACCAATGGCCGAAGCACAAACTTGAGCATCTAAAGCACAATGGCCTTGCAGTAGCTGGACAACCTCCAGCACGTGCTGCCATTGCAGACTTCTTTGGCAGGCTGTCAACACCTCACTATATGTAATAGTGTCAGCCTGCAGATCATACTCGGGCATGCTGGACAAAAACTTCAAAGAACGTTGCCACTGGCTGGAGGACCCCAGAGCTGCCAACATGGAATTGCAAGCAATCACAGTAGGCAGCTCTGTTTGCACCAGCCTGCTGTACAAGTACATTGCCTCCTGCCACTTGCTTGCTTGCACAGTAGCACTTATTGCCGCGCTGAAGGTCACACCGTTAGGAAGCACGGCGAGGCTGAGCATCTCTGTCACCAGGTCCAGTGCAACCTGCCAGTGTCCCAGCTTCTCGCAAGCGCTGATAGCTGAGTTGAATGTAACAACATCAGCTGTCAACCCCTGCCAAGCGATCTCGCTCAAGAACTCAAGGCCGAACTGCCATGCACCTTGCGAACTTAGAGGGAATAGCTGCGCAACTACAGGCAGTCATTTGGCTTAACTAGCTTAACTAGCTTAACTGTCAAGACATCCTTCATTTCGGCTTCGCAGAACCACCAAGGTTCCAATCCGAGCACTCCCCTGCATTCGGGCGCCCACCCCTTTCCCCGACGAGGCCTTCATCGCTGCAGGCGCTTATCATGATGTTGTAGGTCAGCACATCAGGAAACTGCGGGTGATCCAGGCCCTTTATGGCGGTCCAAACTTTCAAGGTGGTGTCCAGGCCGTTGGAGGAGCACGCCTTCAGTACTGCATTGTAGGTCGCAGCGGTCGGGACTATGGATCGTTCAGACATTCCGTGTAACACTGCCAGGGCCCAGGTCCAACTTCTTGTTCCACAGGCACTGATCAGTACGGTGCAAGTGACCGCATCGTGAGCCGTGTGGCGTGGCATCTCGTCGAAAAGCTCCACTGCATATGTCCATTGGCCTGCCTTGTCCACCGCGCTTATGACAGAATTATATATGTACTGATTGGAAAGACTTCTTCTTGTCTGAATGTCATTCGACATCTGCAATGCCATAGACCAGGCACTGTTCTTCTCACATGAGTTTAGAGCGGCGCCATAAACAACATCGTTGGGAAACAGTCCTGATCTGAACAGTGCTTCCAGGCCGTTGGCGGCCAACTGCCACGAATGTTGGCAAGAGTTGATGCATGTACTGCACGAGTACTCATCTGGGCAAGCACGAGACGATCGCATCGAGTTAAATCCCAGCACAGCCAGTTTCCAGCTCTGACAAGCTTGCAGTGCTGCCAAGGCAGAATTAAATCTGATTGTCGTTTGAGACAGGTCCCCCTGTCCAGACTGTCCAGCGCATTGGCTCAAGGCCAGGCTCCACTGAGTGCCCTTCTCACACGCACTGAGTATCACATTTTTCGTAATGCTGTCAGGCAGGACGCCAAGATGTCGCATTTCTTCGCATAGATGCAATGCTTTTGCCCATTCGCTGCCACCGGAGCAAGCACTGACCAGGCTGTTGAAGGTGAAGGAATTTGCTGAGATTCCAGGCGGCAAACTCTCTACGACGCTCAAGGCGACTTCCCAGAAACATCGCTTCGCAAGGGCCGATACAACTGTGGTGTAGTGCACCTGCGCTGCAAGCTCTGGTACGAGCGAAAGCAACTGCTGGGCTATTCTATGGGCCTATGGGCTACTTGTAACTGACTAACATTGTGGCATACTCTGCAGCATATAGTGCTTGGTGGGCAGGGCTGACGAACAATAATTCCTCCGAGGATCAATGTTGGTCTCAACACTTCGGTCCGTCATGAGTGACAAAGTAAAGATGGCAATCGATGTGAGGTGCTGCCGTGTGAGAGCTTTCAGTGCCGAAGTTGCAAACTGAGCATTGCCTGTACGGCACACACAGGTAGGGGAAAGCTCACGACAATGCCAAGAATGCACAAAAAAAGTGAAGGACATACGGCAGAAAGCTCAGCAGAGCATTGCCGCAAAGCGACTCCTCCAGCTCCGCATCATCTGCGAGCTTTCCTCGACGTAGTTCAAACAAAGCAGACATTCGCTGTGTGAGACTCGCAAGAACCGCAACTCGAACTGTACACCTGCACGCATACTTAGGCTTCTAGCAAAGTCACTTGATCAAAGCCACTGTTCTAGCCTGTTAATGAAAGCCAAAGCAAGCTCCCAAAGTCGGGTGACAGTTTGCCAAGCGTCTTCAGCCCAAATCTGCATCTGATCTGTGACAGGCTTGTCATTCAACTTTTGGATGAGCTGGTGAAGTCTCCTGCATGACGGAACAAAATGGAACAAACCTTGGGCCTCAGGGGAGTGACATCTACTAGTAAGACATCAGACATAAAGATGCTCCTGGCACCACCGGCGCGGCTCTCCATCAGGCTGTGTCTTTGAGGTCGAGGGCTTGAGCAGGGCTGGTTGAAGAGGCGAACATGGGGCGAGTGCGACGTCTTTTTGGATGCCGTCTGAGATGTCCTGCCCTTGCGACACGAAGGCACACTTTTTGTATAGTTTGTTCTAAAATTTAATTACGCTCTGTCAGTACTTACCTCAATCAAGCACACGCCTTTCGAGGACTACTTCAGGGTATCGTTGCCCGGCTGAAATCGCACCCGCCCCGCGCTTCTGCTGAGTTAATCTCTGGCCTGCACTGATGCGTGGTTATGGTATGGCTGCTGGACTCAAGTTACTCGAGTTCGAATTTCTGGTCCTGGCCAGTGTTCCTATTCGACGGCAGAGGTTTGCCCTTGACGTGCCGCCCGTGTTGTGGCCAGGCCCATGTTCCTGTGTCACATGCATTGGCTGAATGCTCGGCCACACTGTGCATCCTGGAAGATGCTACTGCTGGAGTAAGTGTGCCAGACAGGGCAACTGATCAGCCTTTTTGATCAGTTTCTTGCTCACAGATTATGCAGACAATGGGGTCACTATCACTTCCCAGAAAGTATTGGACAGCTGCTTTCAGCTACTTCTCGGAGGGCACTGAGCCTCAAGAGGAAGTGTGATGGAAAATGGTGGACAGGCATCATGTTAGGCAACCTTGGGTGCGTGCTTTCAGTGGAAGTTCGTTCTGACGTGGGTTTTGGTTTGGGATTGGACCGCGGCACGATGAGAAGTGAAAGACCTGTCTCATGATGCATGGGAGTTTTACGAGAGTTCCGAAAAGTTTAGGGCATTGCCCTGAAGTAGGATTTTCTTGAGTCCATGCAGCCACGGTGTCCTTGCTGCAGGGACTTCCTTGCCCATCAAACAATCGGTCAGCCCCTAACCACATCGTCCATATGCCCAATAGTGAATTGGAAACCGTGCGAGTTTGCCCGAGAAGGGCAGGTTTGAGCAAAACCGTGCCAACTGGACAGTTGCATCAACCTGTCCTGGCAGTTCCACTAGATTTGCTTCTGCTGTTTTCCTTGTACTAGGTGGCGCCTGAAAGAGCCGCCGCGGCGGTGCACCGCAAAGAACAAAGGAACAAGAGCCAAGACGGTGACTACCGTCGTCGTCCCACAAGTCAGCCGGGAGCGAATTTCGAAGACAAGCAATAGCGTAATGTAGCGTATGGCCGAGCTGTACTGCCGTGCAATATCAGCAGCAACCTTCACGGTTGGACCTTGGCAAAACCAAACCCATACTGTAGGACCTGATACTTCTCGTCAACAGAAACCTCTTCAGCTCCAAACCGAACCACCTACACATCCACCACATCATTTGGCTCACCCTCTTGTATGCCAGACAGGCGGCTGTGGCAAACAACAACACGAGGGCAACAAAGGAAAAGGCCATCGGCAAACCAACAGTGCCCAGCAAACGGGCCACGTCGTGACAGCAATGCAAAGTTCGGGGCCCTTTCGATAAGTGCACTCGGGCTTTGCACCTTCTCGGGTCGCCGTCTGGCTTGCGTGAAACGAGTGGCGAACGAACGTGTGACCGGTCGCTCAAGCCACGGCCATGGCATGTTCAGTTGTGTACCTGGCAGGAGATAATTATCGAACACCACCTGCCTTCATGAAGCTTGCAAGACATAATTCGAAGATCTCGGCCCCGTGCATTCGTGCCATCGACCGAAATCCTCTCAGATCCCCGTTTCCTGATGTGGACAGAGTTTGGTCGCACGCACAAAAGTACAAAAGAGAAAGAGATCCGAATGCCCATAGCATGCGTTGTCCAAGCAGGCAGGTGGTGCTCAAGAGATTTCCGGCATCGCAGTTCAGAGGACTCTCCGGGTTTGGGTCCCGCCTCAGATCGCACGCCTCAATGCGTTGTGCCTAAACCTGCACACCTGCAGCATCCCAGGTATCCGAAGTGTAAGGTCTCAAACGGCGCTCGCATTGGCAACTTAGGGCGCGGACAGCAGGGCAATGACAGCCCGGCAGACATACCTCCGCGCAAACGCTGTCTGTTGTAAATTTCCATTGGCACAGGTAGGTCCACCATGCAACAGACTAGGCAAGCAGCTGCAACGTCCATGCCGGGCTCCAGTCTGTCTTCACTATGTCCAGGCAAAGCCTCACAAAGTGTTGTCACGGGCTCAGCTCGAAACAAGGACTCAAGGCAGTCGCTCGCCGGTGTTGTAATTCACGTTCGGGTGGAAGATCTTGGTCGCAAAGCTCACCTGCAAAGCTTGGGCTTTTCTTGACTGGCTTGACAATTAGACCTGCTTCCATGCTTAGGAACTCTGGAACAGCAGTTTTGGAAGGTTGAAGGAACCAACTAGCAGGTACAGTAGCGCATCTGAGCAAGTCAACGTCCCATGGTGGGGAAACCAACGAGACTGAACTTCGCCAACTGGGAGCAGGAGATGTCAAGGAGCACTGCACGGACAGGCCAGTGCGCCGTGCGCCTGAGGTGCAGCATACGGATAGTTCGCCGTGCAGACGATGTCCAGCTTGAAGTGTCCACCCTCATACGGTGAATCCTCAGAGCAATGAGCGTCTATCGAAAATGCCTTGAGCCGACCGTGCCCCAGAAGCCTGTGGACCCTTGATGGTCGCATGCCACTGCTCGAAGCTGTCGCCAGCCCTGGGAGTCTCGCTTCAGACATTTCGACAGATGCTAGTATGAGCAACTCGTGGAAAGCACTCAGCTTTCCACAGCTCCAAAGAAATATCCGGGTCGGGGTTCCTGCAAATCGTGAGCACCAGGGCTTGACGTACATGTGCAGCCTGTGCTAGAATCGCACCGCGCTGTCTATGCCTCTCATGATGTGGAGACTCCGCTTCGTTGCTATTGCTGCTTGACTTAGAGCACTCGATTCATCCAAACTCTGACACATCATGTCACCATGTTAACTCCGGAGCTTCAGAATGACTCCGGCCACAGAGTGTCGGCTCTTGCGTCCGCCAGCAAAGTGCACGTGATGCTTGCGGTTAAGCAGAAACTTTCTGAAAGAGGCCGGTGTCCGGCCTCAACCTGAGAAACGTGCCGACGTATTCGAGTCTAGAAGTGCACGTTATTGCGCGAGCGAGTTGTGTTTCGACAGCCTACTCACCCCCTTCTGAGTATGTCGCGCGCCTATCTGAACCGTGCTGCTAAAAGCAAGGGATTTGAAATGAAACTTTTGAATGCAAAGAGGATTGCGAAGCACTCGAGAAACTGAAAAACAAGGTTATTATGGCAGGGTATAATCGAATCTGCGGAGGGCAATGGGCGACATTTTCGGGGATAGCACACACAAGTTTGCGAATGAACATGAACATGATGCCAACATTCTCGAGACTTCAACTCGCCGATGCGCGACGATTGCGTGTTGCCGTCAACACCCAGCGATACACAGGACAAGTTTTCCCAGGTCCTTCTCACTTCTTGCCATTCTTTGTTCAGCCTGTTCCTGGGCAATTTGTTAGGGATCTCGAAATACATCCAAGAAAGGCGACGGCCTGGCCATGGCAGAGCAGCAAGACGCTTCAAGCAGCTTCAGCCAGCGGCGTATGAATGATGTTGCTGCTCCTCTGTTGGCATAGTACGTATGCTTTTGCCGTCAAAGGCTTCTTGCCAAAGCCTGTCTGTGTGCCAGTCGGCACTTCCACTACAAGGGTCTTTGCGGAGCGGCACAGCTGCACGGAAGGCATATCGAAGGCCACAGCTGCAAGGAAAGAGGCCGGCTTCTCTCTGCGCGCGCGCTTCTTTTCGCTGCTCGCACCCGGCCTCGGCCCCCCGAGCATCCTTGGCCTTCCTCTTCACATGCAGATTACAGTATGGGAGAGAGAGTTCGGTCATCTCCCACACAAGCCGAGCGCCCCTTTGGGCGCTTCAATCTAGTAGAGGGATGTCTGCTTCATTATGCTGATGAACTCCTCCTCATTGATGTCCCCTGACTGGCAACGAGTAGACAGGTGCTGCCCGCCCTGCAGCAATTGTACGATTACAAAAGGCACTGCAGCTGTCTTCAACTAAGAAAGACGAATTAATCATCAGTCAAGCATCCATCTTGATCCAAGTCAAACTCCTTACTCGCGTGAGGCACGTTCGTCTCAACTCCGTGCTGGGAAAATGAGCGGCCACCCGCAACCGTCAACGGCCTGAGACTTTCTTGCAGATGGAAGGCATCGATCATGCCCCGAAGTTCCTCGTCCGTCAACTTCTCTCCTAGCTCCCGGGCGATGCGCTTCAAGTTCCTGCGATCGCATCAACGTCAAGCTTGCACGATCACACGGCTTGCGAAAGCCAAGGCGTCCTGAACGATATCCTCCCACGCCTATCTTCATCAAAGAGCTCCTCGGCACAGCTTTAGGTGCGTGGCGCATATGTCGGGGTTTGGTCGAGTCCATCGGTTGCAGGCATGATGCACAAGACATGCAAAAACTGTCTGTAGCAATATTGGCTGCAATTTCCAAATATCTTTGCTCACGATGACCGGTGCATAGCCGCATAGCTTGAGCCAGAAACCAAGAGCCCGGCTTGGTTCCCGAACAACTGTGAAAGTGACTGGGCTTAGATTGGCTTCGTGTGCTTCGTCGTGCGTCGTTGGTTCTGCAGAAGCAACTCCTGAAGAAGCACATTGCAGAACTTCCCTGCAACACCATCATGCAAGCCGGTGAAACCGATCCTTTCGAGCGGCAAATGCTTTTCGGATTTCATCCATTGGATCTTGCGCAGCGTAGCGCTGTATCATGATCTCTTCAAACGCCTCGAAACCAATGTAACCTGGCTGTGCGATTCCGTCTTTCCACACTGCTCACACCTACCCGCTTCCAAGTAGGCTTAGTGGGTTTACGGGCTCTGCATAGCACGCTCGGTCTCCTGACTCACCTGGTTAAACACAAAGCTCGACATACCAGAGCCCTCTGGGCCTCAGTCCTACAGTATCATACCCTGCTCATGTTGCATGCATGTGTGCGCGTGTGGGCACGCGCGCGTACGTGCGTGTGTGCGTGGGCGTGCGCGCACGAGTGCAAGTGCCGGCTGATGGTGCACGTGCTTGAGCCCACGCACGGGCGCGCAGGCGGGCGCTCTGGCGCGAGGCGGCCACATGCAGAGTCTCGGGAACATCATCAACTCCTTTGCAAACATCCTGGAGAATTGAGATTCGATTGTTTTCTCAGTTCTCAATTTGCTGCCCAGTTGGCCGGTCTCTTCCCGGTCGTACCTCAGACGAAGGCAGTGACCATGTCTGTCAAAAGGTGGAACGGTCTGCAACGCAGCACAAGCTCTTGGGCTACAGTTATTGTGTGCAGCAGAGAGCACCTTTGCATCAGTTCGAGAGCTTCGGGCTTCTTGATTTCGAAGCCCATAGCTCGGACAGCAACCTCAAAAGTGCATGACTTCCGTGGGATCCCATTGCAGTTCATGCACTCTTCTTGCCACCTTGAGTTCGTGGTAGTCCATCTTCCCAGTTCTCTCTGAATCGAAGATGTCGAAGGCCTCTTCTGCACCAGACCAAGAAAGCCAAAGATTCTTGAGCCAATGCCAGCCCGCATTGCCTCTTTAATCTCTTGGCGCTGCTCCTTTCCCGGATCAGGGCAACCCAGCTGAAGTACATGTCTGCGTCTACCAAGTGGCACAGCAAAGCACACGTCGGTACAAGTCGTAAACTAACAGTTAGACTAACAGATTCAAATAGCCTCCTTCATCGATAGCTCTGCCTGAATTTTAGAGACGCCTCCAGGCCTTGCAGCTGCCGACAGCCGACAGACGAAAATTCGCTCAAGGGCCGAACATGCATCCTGGATCCTGACTTAAGCCGTGAAACCTGGAGCTGCGAGGCAACCTCAAAGCCATGCACCGAACATCACCGAACCGTTAGGAGATTTAGGAGATGTTCCCCGCACAAGGGCAAAAGTAGCCCGAAGAGCCGTCCTTTGACACTGCTCGAGCTGCTTGATGAGCTCGCTGGTTGCGGCCGCGAAAATCGCGCCCATCGAATACATTTCTCCTCGCAAACGTAGGGAAGACACGCTCAGCAACCGAAGTGCTTCCGCATGCACCCCTTGCAAACATTGTGCCTGCCAGCTCCTTGCATCTGTTCAACTGCTATTCTGGCTTGTGCTATTGCAGGTGCTGCACGAAGGCTTCTACCAGTAGCAAGGCATCACATCTCAGATGTACGAATGCTTGCTTCAAGGCAGCTGCACTTCCTGAAAAAGGGCCGTGATCATACTTGCCAATCAAGTTGGTGATGTTTTCATATGCAGGTCACCTCTCTTGAATTGAGCTTGAATGCCGGCAGGACATAACGCAGCAACCAGTTCGCATCCGAGCGACATCAGATTCCGATGTACTATCCCGGGCTCCGGCAGGCTTTCACTGCTTAACTGTTGGTGTTTTCTTAACGTCTCTGGCAACTGCTACAATATGCTACAATACTTGCTTCTATCGCATGTGCGCACTTAAAGGACTCTTTCCCAAACAAGGACTGATAACACCTGCTACAGGAGTCAAGCGATATCAGCGTTTCAGGCCTAATACGGCTACTGCGGTTCAGGACGGACCCGGCACTCGGGGTTTCTTAAAGTCACTGACAATAGAAGTCTCATTGCCAGTGAGCACCGGAAGAACCATGCAGTATGGACCGGTGAAGTATGCTGTTGCCGAGATGCCGAGATGTCCAACAATCAGCTTTCGGCTTGTGCAGCAAAGCTCTGCCTCGCACACTCACTCACTCACCCACTCACTTGTGTGTGCAGCTGACCTTAAAAAGCGTGATGTCACAATCACGTACGACGGCACAACAAGCACAACCAAGGACGGCAAAACCATCTTCAATTTGATATCGAAACACTTGCCACAAGGAATACTGGGTGTAATGTACAGTATGTGTATATATATATATATACATACATATACATACATATATATATATATATGTGTGTGTGCATGCATGTATGTATGCAGATGCCTATGTATATGTACATGTGTGTATGTATGTGTGTATATGCATATGTATATATGTATATGCATATGTGTATGTGTGTATGCGTATATGTGTATACGTATACGTATATGTATATGTATGTATATGTATGTATATGTATGTATATGTATGTATATGTATGTATATGTATGTATATGTATGTATATGTATGTATATGTATGTATACGTATGTATATGTATGTATATGTATGTATAT